GATTTTTAATTAAATGCAATACATTGTATCTTATGTATTAACTCGTTTCATCCGACTCCATAAAATGAAAAGGTTTTTCAATGATATCTGTGCATCATTAAATATACGTTAATGTTTGACTATTCCTTTTAACTCCAATGAAAATAACATCAAAGTCTGTTAGAATAATCAAATATAACAATTTATTGTGTCAGGTAAAAGTATTATGCCAATTTCACAATCAGTTCAAAGATCATCAATACAAAACATCAAATGCTCTAGGATAAGAGAAATAGATGCAAACCCAACATTTAAGAACTACATGAGCTAACCTCACGGGCTATCTGAAATACAGAAAGAGCCCTGAGCTCTCGTTGCATTTTCCTTATATAGCCAGACCTTATTTGATATGTAAAACTTGAGTTTAGTGGAAATTTACTGTATTCCCCCACCATTACTGGGGGTAGAAGTTGACCATCTGCTAAGAACAGTGGAAATTAGCATTCATGAATTTACACCTTTGGGAGTGCCTAGAGACATTCCTTTGTGTGCCAGTTATTCCTAAAAACCTTATTTCCTTTTGTTTTACTTATTTGGAAATGAGCCATTTGTACCACTCACCCTGTGACAGTTTAAAAGATACTAAGCACAATACTCAATGATTATCATTCACATTAAACCATATATATTCTTGTGTGAGTTTTTAGTGTTACTGACTGAGAGAGAGAGGAAATGTAGATAAGGTACTCAGAGGAAGGGGGGTGCGGGGTGTGTGTGTGTGTGTGTGTGAGATGTTCAACTGTTAATGTGCAAGCAAGGTCCTTTGTCTTATAGACCTGTGGTGAGGTTGATTCCATCAACCAGTTCTTCCAGTCTTACAACATTAAAAAATCTTTTGAACAGTAGGATACGTTAGAAGGTGGGCTGCTGAAAATTCAGCTTTGCTATTACAGGACTTAATTTTATGTATTAACTCAAATACTCATATTTGCTTGAATTTTAAATATATTCAAATAGAAAAAAATATTTTAAATTATAATAACATTTCATTAACGTTTTTACTGTATTTATGATCAAATAAATGCAGCCTTGTTGAGCATAAGAAACTTAATTTACATTTAAAAGAAAATCCTACCAACCCCAAACTTTTAAACAGTAGAGTAACTCCCAAAAACACATTTAACTAAAAGCCTCTCTTACGTTGGGTAGCGGACAACAGCCATATCCTCCTGATGGTGTTTGACAGCAGGTGTTTCCATCTTCACACATCCCTCCATCAGGACAAATCAGAGCGACACACACGTTCAGACACACACATAGTAACGCTACGACACTCACACGCACCTGAAAGACAGGAAATGGCCATGAACTGAACATTATTTGATTCTGTGTTTACTGTAAAACAGTTTTTATTATGACACTATATTTATTATGAAAGTTCTGATACATGAGGATCATTGATGAATGAACGGGGAAAGTGACTTTTTATTTCATTTATTTAAAGCATTTCACATGTCTGAATGTCTTAAGTCAGTTGACCGACAAACATCGCAACATTTGAGAAAGAGTGTCTTAAAGACGTGCATTTCCCAATGTGTACATTTATTGAGCAACACAACAATGACAAACACACTGCTGCCGGTCTCATGACATTACCAGGTCATGTCTGGTTGATGTAAAATCGCTTCAGCAGACTTTAGACTCATTTAAAAAAGACTATATTGTTTCAAAATGGAAAAAGCTCAGTTTGATTTCATCTTTTATTTATAGTAGCAGTGATAATAGAGCTTTAGATCACAATATAAGAAATATTAAGAAAACTAGGCTACAACAAAAATACTCACCATTGTGTGTGTGACTGTGCTGACCCCCAAAACTAATGCTCTTCAAATGTTCAGATGCAAAACCATGAACAACTTTCTTGCGCTGTAACACAAAACATAAAAATGCATAACTAAAGCAAGTACATTCATACAGGGGTTTGTCACACAGGTGTTTCAACAGGAATTGATTACGATAAAGAGATCAATTCCTTAGTAATTTAGTTTTAGTGTTTATAATCATTGTGGTGTATGACCCATGTAAAAACTGCATTACACACACACACACACATACATATATATATATATATTATCAATTCCAGGATACATGAGTATATTACTCTGATACTTACTGGACTACAGATTTCAAAGACACCGAGAACAAAAGTGTTTGCAAACTTATGCTTATCCTAGGTTTTTTTTTTAGCAGATAATCTCATCTCAGACCATTGATCACATTATATGAGCACTGTCTTAAAGGGATAGTTCACCCAAAAATGAAATTCTGTCATCATTTACTTACCCTCAAGTTGTTCCAAACAAAATAGTTGTTTTGCTGAACACAAATAATATTTTGAAGGATACAGGTAACCAAACAGTTGATGGGCCCCATTGACTTCCATAGTACTTTTTCAAGTCAATGGGGTCCATCAACGGTTTAGTTACATGTATTCTTCAAAATATATTTTGTGTTCAGCAAACAACATGTTCAGGTTTGGAACAACATGAACCCATTTTTGGGTGAACTATCCCTTTAATATAGCATCACTTTAAATCACTTCGTGGCTTCGGTTAACAAACTACACTAATTGACCATATTTATTTTTAATTTAGATAAACTATCAAATGCATATCCACCAAAGCTTCAATTTGTATCAGTTAACCAGTTAGTATAGGTTTAAAACCGGTCTTTGAGACGCACTAAATCAGTAATTAAAAACGCATAATTCTAAAATCCTGTTGCAATGTAAGGTTGTTTCTTTTTGTTTCCAACGGAAGCGCGTGAGCTCGGCCGGAATAAACCCTAAACAAAGACTTGATTTATTAAAAAAAACAAGATGTCTTAAGTATAAAGAGCTTACCGTACCGTATTTTCACGAGGCCAGTGGAAAAATCACCGTAAAACTGGACGCTGTGAAGAGGATATACCGCTGTTCTCAGCCGAGTTTGAGTTTATTTGTCCATCACGTGACTGAGTGTCACATGACACAGTGAGTCAGGCTTGTTTGTCTTTCATGAACCATATTAACCTGGGGGCTGTTCCATAAATGAAGCTTAGAAAAGCGGGGATTAAACTCCAAAACCGGACTTGAATGAGCCTAACAAATAAGTTGGGGCTAAAGTGGTTCCATAAAAGGTAATTGAAGTTCACGCAATCTCACTAATTTGATCCAGGTTTATATCTAGTCTAGATAATTGCGTGTGCACGCGTTTCTGAAGCAGCCCTAGAGGTCGATCGTGGATCAAATCGATCCACCATCAAACAGCGTATTGCAAAGCCAAGTGCAAAAATGACATTTTACAGTTATATTCTCCATCTGTAAATGTTAGAAAGTCGTGCAAATGTAGCCATTTTGCTGCTAATCTTCATATTGAAAGAGCGCTGCTGCGCGCATGCGCGCCAAATAGGAGCGCAATAATTCTGACTAAAATATACATTTTGCTTGGAAAATTAATATGCGATATTTTATAACACTAGAAATATCTTCTAATTATAATAATTTCTCTTTAGGATGTTGGATAAGTTGCAGTGAACTTTTAGCTCATTACACTCATATATTTTATACTTCTAATAAAATAAAGAAATTGAACAGAAGTAGCCTAATTCAGGGAAGATTTTTTTTAAGAAACTAATTATATAAAGATACAAAATATATTTTATGGTATAGGACCTATGCTACTTTATAAAGATGATATATACTTATTTAGAATGCTGAGAATTACAGCTTTTAATGCAATAATTTTTTTTTGAGAAAGCAAGAATCCCCAGTTTTAAATGAGTGGTTAGATTTAGTTTCTAAAGTACATTATGCAGAGGATAACATTAAATTAAGAACAAATGTATACATTTTGAAAAGATATGTGCAACTCTAAAATCAAAGAATATTCCATAAAATAAAGGAATATATATTGGCCTACATTAACTACATTTTTATGTAACCTTCCCTTTTATTTTTAGTTATTTGTTATTTTATTTATTTACTTATTTAATATTGAATATTTGATATTTAAATAATATTACTTGAATAACTATTAGGAATTATGTGTCATTCATTATAAGAGTTTGATATGTGAATGTTATATTTTTATTAATATTTATTTATTGTTTTATTTATATGTATGTGTTGGTATTATCACAAAAGAAAAGAAAAGTAGAAGGAAAAATAAGGAATATTTATTGGGAGAAAATATGATGTCTTTAAAGGAACTGTCCATTTGTATAATTGTGTTAAATGTGTTTGAATTGAAAGACATAATAAAGTAAATATATATATATATACTGTATATATATATATATAAGAGACAGTGTAGAGAAAGAATTCTCTGATAACCGAGACATGTCCTAAACGGACAACTTTAAAACGCCTGTTAGCCTGCCCTGGACCAGGCTAATTTCCCAGCATAAGTTGCCAGGGTAACTGAGTTTGAACTTTTTTAAGTTTGATTTATGAAACCGAATCTACCAAAAATAAGCCTGACTAACCGAAATAAGCCTGGCTTATACTCTAATCTTGGTTTATGGAACAGCCCCCTGTTCGTTTAGTTTACAATGACAATATAATTTACATTATGCAAACAATATACACAAAGCATTAAAATATAATATAATAAAAAAACGTAACAAAACAAAGTATAAAAATATATCTAATATGAATATATAACTAATAAATATATTCGAAAATTTTCACATCAATTATAATAATATAAATAAAATGCAAATAATATTAAATGCACGAACAGCCTTTTTGTTTCAACCATCCAAAACGTACAGCAACATCATGTAGTAAATATCGCTCTTATATGACTCACAGAACCTGTCAAAAAATGTCGAGGTTATATATTCCACCCCACCAACATAAAGAGATTTAAAGTTGAGATGATATATCCATAGATAGACTGTATATTCTATAAAACAGCATATATACTAACAGTAGGTGGCAGTAACGCGCTGCTTACGTTTGCGCGCCGCCGCTGAAGGAAAAACAGAAGTTGTGTTGTTGTCATGATGTGCTATGATGATGTGTTGCTAGTGTTGTTTGACATTTAAACATGTCGTGTGCAGCTTTGAATTGTACTAATCGTTCCTCACCAGGGTCCAGTATAAGTTTTCATCGGTCGGTTGGTTATTTAATTTATTTCGTCTAATTTAACCGTCCAGTCACATTGTCAAAACTGTGTTTGTCTGTAGATCAATCGCGTGCACTTTATATGTAGAAATATTAAGAATTATTTGTCTAGTCATGAATAATAGACGTTCATATTTTGTGTATGTTGATTATTTTTTGAAAAAGAAGCCCATTTAATAACTCACATATGCAAAAAAAGAGAAATATTATTTCAGTAGGTTCTTAAAATCTTATAAAAAGTGTTTTGATGATAAAATAATAGTTCATCAAAAATGAATCCCAGTTCCAATCCCTTTTCTGTTTTAATACAAAAAGTTATTTATTTGTGTCTTCCAAGAATACTACTACTATTATGATATGGCTTTTATCTGCTCCTATTGAACAAAGACTATATGTGAGCTCATATTCTTTTAAAATCATATTTGACTATCTCTCCTATTCTCTAATCCATCTATCCATTAATTTTACAGTTTCCCATTAGGTGACAAAGATCGGCTGCAGCGGTGGATGGTGAACATCAGACGTGACCATTTCAAGCCATCTCCATCTTCTCGCATATGTTCCCACCACTTTGAAGACAGCTGTTTCTTCAAGAACAATAAAGGTCAAGTGTGCCTTAAGAAAACGGCTGTCCCCACCAAATTTTTCTTCCCTGACTCCTTTAAGATGGCATGGTGCACCAAATTATATAGAAGGCGAAGGAATGTGGAAAATTATGAAAATCATGAATTTCATACATACAGTCTCAAAATGGATCCCAAGAGAAGGTATGTGGAAGAGGAGGTCATTTTAGATGAGTTTGTGAAAGAGGAGGAAGATGCTTCGGATCAGGACATGGCCGAAACCAGTGTGACGCCAGTGATTTACCCCACTGAAATATGTGTCATTGCAGTTAGACATGATCACTGCTACCGTTCTTGGTCTTCAAACAAAGCTTGTAGTTCCATAGATGACACCGAAACAACGGCAGAAATGCAAGAGAACGAATCTGCAAAGAAGCTGAAGCACAGTTTGAACTTGGTCCTGGGCAAGATTGCGGCCTGCAGGAAAAAAATAAAATTGAAGAACGCCACGATTCGAAGGCTAAAAAGAAAAGTGACTTCTCTGTCCTCAGTCATTTCAGAGTTGAAATCGAAAAAAACCTCAGAGACAAAACAAAAGTATGCTACCCTTAGGCAAAGCACATTGTAAGTATATATCATTTTTTTTGCCATGTTTTTTTTTTTTTTCACACTGTCACAAAACAAATCTGTCATTTACTCACCCTCAGATCAAAACCATATGGCTTTTTCTTCCATGGAACATAAAAAAAATGCCTTTTCATGCAGTGACAAGATGACATTCACTATGTTCTAAAGAACAGCATGAAGCATTTTCATTTTGTGTGAACTATTCCTGTAATTTGCATGCTAAAAATTTTATATCAGAGGAAATATAAATATTTTGTCTTGAAAATGAATGTCTTCACAGCTGAAAGGATCTAGATCGCGGGCTCCGAAACTGAAGAGTCACGAGCTGTAAAACAAGAGCCTTGGACTCAGTGACTTGCCTTTGAATGAGGAGGTTGTGTTTTGTTCTGCCTGCGTTCTTCCAATCATTACCACTGGTATGCAACAGACACATTGGTCAAGAATGCTGGGGGAAATGACCTGAGAAGTTGGTTCGGTCAGGAGGATGAAGAGATCTCAGAAGAATGCATAAAGAATAGCCCCTTATTAGGCGGCATGGGAGAAATGCAAGAACCAGCACAAATGACACTCCTTTTCTCAGGGATGTTGAAATGTAATTATTACATGATTCGTTTGAAGCTTCCTATGTTCTACATCCCTTTTTATATAATAGTTTGTAATTTTCTTAATAAATATTCAACATCATGATTGCCCTCTGTCTTTCTGATGCAGTATTGCCCTCTGTCTTTCTGATGCATTATTATGGTATGGTCCTGTTTTATATAAAAATCAGAGCTTTTTTTTCTGGGGGGTTGATGTCTTGTTATATTTGTATTTTAAGAAAATGCAATAAACATAATTATAAAAAAAATTAATAAAATAAAAATTAACATGGTAATTAGATTAGTTTTCCAGGCTGTTGGCATCATTTGCATCAATATATCTGTAGGAAAATCATATGTAACTTTACATTAGTCTCTTTAGTTAACTAAATGAGTTAACATGAACAATACTTCAACAGAATTTATTAATGTTCCTTCCAACATGTAATCTAAAGTTTTAAAAATGTAGTATTAGCAAATTAGCAAAAAAAAAAAGTTGTAATTGATAGTTGTGATTAATGTGTTGTCAACATGAACAAACAATAAACTATTGTATTTTTACATTCATAAATCCTCTAAAAATGATATTGCTCAATTTAAGTCCATGTTAGATAATGCATTAAATATTGTTAACAAGTGAGACCTTATTGTAAAGTGTAAGCAAATTATCTTAGAGATTCAAAAGCTTTTTGGAACTGCATTAATAGTAAGATATTTAAGAATAATTTATATGATAATTAAACATATTTCGATTAGCATCATATCATTTCGTTGAACTGATTTTGTTGACAGTTACATATTTACTTTTTTTTTTTAAAGCAACATATTCTGGGTCAGCATGTGGCATTAATAAATCAACCACATGGATTTAATGTCTATGAGTCAAAGACAAAATAGAGACAGTAATTGGTGACTTTCTAGCGTTAAAGCCACATCTCCACCCTGATGTCGTGTATAAATGAGGGACATAGTCTCATTTTCAAATTCAAATCCACACATGATCAGAACACATGGAGCAATCCTTTAATAAAAGCCTTATTTTTGGGCAGGTAGAATATTAGGGGGAAAGAAAAAAAATAAGAAACATGTTTCTGTTTTGCCTTCAAATCATTCTGTACACACTAAAAGCCAAAGCAGAAAACAAAGGTTCATAACTGTAAGTTCTCCTCAGTTTTTGCTCTGTGGTTCTGCTCCTGGAGTTGGTTTGTGTTCGTCAGATGGGAATGTTTTGATTTTTTCCCCCTGAAAACGGTTGTCTCCTCCCCGTTCTCTCCTTCTTCTTGCTCCAGTCTTCCCCTCTTTACAAAGTGCTGGATCCTGGACTCCAAACTCTGGCAGCGCGGCCGCTCCAGAAGAGGCTGGTACTTCTTCTGCCTGGACCCCTCCATGAGCCAACACTGCAGAGAAGTCATCTCTAAAACACAACAACAGAAACATTACTTTTCATAATGATTTCACAAGCTCATTTTAAGATAAATAGCAGGCAGTGTGTTAGTATATCACTCCACACATCAACAGTTTCAATATGAACGCACACCTGTGGTTGTGTTCTGAAGGCCTTGGATCATGCCGAGCAGAACCTGCGTCTTGACTGCATTCTGAACCCAGTGTTGGTGCAGTGAGTTCAGGACGTGGTTCTCCTCCTCCGTTTCATTCCTCCAATTTACACCCTCGAAGTGGCAGTCATAGAGAACCAAAGGGTAATCCACCGCCATACTACAGAACAGAGGAAAAGTCGGCATGAAACGGAAGTCGTGCGATAGTCTTTTCTTTCCTATTTCGAGTGGAACGGCTTCTGAACAAGAATAAATGTAGGGCGGGCAATGTTTTTGTCCATGGGCAATGGATTATACGGTTCTGGCTTGCTATTGGTCAATCTCATGTGAGCGACAGGTTGCCCCGCCCTTACGCCAGTAAACACATCATCAGAGAAGAGAAGTCGCTGCAAGAGGGAGGGGAAGTTATTTTAATTCAAGATTACGAGAGTATAAGATTTTTGAAAAAATTATATGCACAGATAAATCGTTTATATAAATATTGCATATTCCATAAAAAAAAAAAAAAAAGAATTACTAATTTAGAGTCATGAAAACTAAAATTCCTACAGGTCTGAAATTTAAGCATCATAAAAAATCCAGTTCATGCTGGTCTAAGCCAAGAGATGACAGTGGAAAAGCAATAAGTAACTTCATATGGGATCCAGGTTTAGCTATGGAAATGTTGAAATAAAACTCACCTGTATTGAGGTTTCCTTGGGTTTTTCTCCACATCCATCAGCTGATCAATGATTTCTGGAGCTTCGAGTTTCTGTCCAATCAGCAGCAGCAAAGCCATCATGCAGCGAACCTGCAAAAGCAAAGATCAGTTTGTTATGATCAGAATGGGATACTAGCTACTGCTACAACTGAACACTGCAGAGGACACTGCATACTATCTTTTTAAAACAAAAACAAAGCTCTTTAACTGGTGGAGATGGTTTCTACAAGTGTATTAACTACTACATAATAAAGAGGTCATTTCAACAAATTTAGATCAACTTTTTTGACTTCAAGGTCCTCCAATGTACGCAACAACATTTGAAGACCCCCATCCCTAGTTTTGCTTTTTAAACTTATTTTAATCTATGGGCACTCCTACTTTCAGTAAATAATGATAAAAATACCATAACATAATTATAATTAAAATAGATGTAATTAATTAGTTTCAGGAGCTGAGTACTCTTCAGGGTTCCTACTCTTTTTAACAATGAATTTACGTGACTCTTCCAGACTTTATAAAATACTTAAATACTTTCAGCTAACTGCCAAAGAAATTTAATTTTCATTTAGTTTAACTTGATGTACTAAAATAACTACAACTAAATAAAACTTAAATAAAAATATAGACAGTAAAAAAAAAATATAAAAAAAATAATAATGACTAAAACTTTTTCAAAAAAATGAAAATGGGAAACCATTTCAAACTATTAATAATACTATAGTTGTATCTCAATGATACTAAAATAACACTGTTTTCAGGACAGGAATCACACTTTTAAAATGAGGTAACTTTTGGAAACAGTTGTTGAGGGGTTGAATTAAAATGATCTTGATTTTTTTAGTCATTTAGCTTCTTCTAAAGCTTGTTTGAAAGCCTGTTTTTAAGAACCACTGCTTTAGCGTCGAAGGCCTCCAGTATACGGCGGGATCCTTACCTGGTGATAGAGGAAAGCAAGACCTTTGACCTGGAAGACGTAGAGTTGGTGGGGGTCGTCAGGACAGGTGGGGTTGAGTTGGGCTGGCTGGACCGTGGCAGACAAGATGGTCCTTTGGAACTGCAAGACTCCATTACCAACATCCATCTTACACAGGTTCCTGAAGTCATGTGTTCCCTCATATCTGCATGGCCAGGGAAACACAAAGAAGAAGCCATTGTGACCGAGCTCCTGAACACAGTGTCAATCAAATTAACAGCAGCTCAAACAACTCCAGAATAAAGACATGGTGTATTTTTCATCAATTCAGAGGCATTATTTTATTTAATCAAATGTTTAAATTAAAGGGTTAGTTCACCCAAAAATGAAAATGATGTCATTAATGACTCACCCTCATGTCGTCCCAAGCCTGTAAGACCTCCGTTCATCTTCAGAACACAGTTTAAGATATTTTAGATTTAGTCCGAGAGCTTTCTGTCCCTCCATTGAAAATGTATGTACGGTATACTGTCCTTGTCCAGAAAGGAAATAAAGACATCATCAAAGTTGTCCATGTGACATCAGTGGGTTAGTTAGAGTGTTTTGAAGCATTGAAAATACATTTTGGTCCAAAAATAACAAAATCTTTATTCAGCATTGTATTGTCTTCCGGTTCTGTTGTGGATCCGCGTTCAGTGCCGCTGCTGACGTAAGACGCTGCTGACGTGTGTCTGGTGTGTGTGTATGTGTATTCTGGTTCTGTTGTGGATCCGCGTTCAGTGCCGCCGCTGACGTAAGACGCTGCTGACGTGTGTCTGGTGTGTGTGTATGTGTATTCTGGTTCTGTTGTGGATCCGCGTTCAGTGCCGCTGCTGACGTAAGACGCTGCTGACGTGTGTCTGGTGTGTGTGTGTGTGTGTGTATTCGGGTTCTGTTGCGGATCCGCGTTCAGTGCCGCTGCTGACGTAAGACGCTGCTGACGTGTGTCTGGTGCGCCCGAGCTTCGTTTACAGTCTGAAGGAGACGCACGCTGGAAACTAAACAATCTTCGCAAACATGTCTAAGGATTTCGACACAGAGGAAGACTTGCATTTTTTTGCCCAGCCATATTTATTTGAACCCGAATACACGGACACACCAGACACACATCAGCAGCGTCTTACGTCAGCGGCGCCACTGAACGCGGATCCACAACAGAACCGGAAGACAATACAATGCTGAATAAAGTCCTAGTTTTTGTTATTTTTGGACCAAAATGTATTTTCGGTGCTTCAAAACATTCTAACTAACTCACTGATGTCACATGGACTACTTTGATGATGTCTTTATTTCCTTTCTGGACAAGGACAGTATACCGTACACACATTTTCAATGGAGGGACAGAAAGCTCTCGGACTAAATCTAAAATATCTTAAACTGTGTTCCGAAGATGAACGGAGGTCTGACGGGCTTGGAACGACATGAGGGCGAGTCATTAATGACATCATTTTCATTTTTGGGTGAACTAACCTTTTAAGTTGAGTGACTGTACATAATATTCGTTAAGCAGACTCAGAGTAGATACGGTTATAGTGTTGAAGTTTTCATCTACTGACCGTTTAGCAGCCTCTGCCATGCGTTCCACATCCAAGTCTCCACGAGGAAAGTAGTATCTGTATGTTCTGGACTGGCAGTCGAAGCGAGCACTGAAGCCGCTTTCTACAGGGGCCCATTGCAGTATCCTGATGTCCTGTGGCAGGACTCGATTTAGGATCTTCACATAGGGTAATTCTTCTGCAGAAGCCTTGCCTTTGACCTCCACGTCAGCCGGGACAGTCACACCTAAACCTCCTCTGTACTGCGTGGAGCGCAGATCAATGGATATAACCTGGAGAAGACCATCAATATCAGGAATCCATGACTTTACAAAATATGAAAATATATTTATTATAAAGATCACAAAAACAAATGTAATGGCATAAATAATAATAATTTTTTTAAGATATTTGCAATTCATGTTATGCTTTTAGTTGTTATAATTGAATGTTTATTTTTCATTGTTATTATTGCGTCAAAATTAAATAATATAAAAATTGGTTCTGAATATAAATTATCAGAGACTGTCAGAAATCGTCAATATCAAGAATCCATAAGTTTACTAATATATATATATATACACACATATTTAATATAAACACACATTTTTATGTTAGATGCGATTAATCGTGATTAATGAATTTGACAGCACTAATATACATACATATATATATATATATTATATATATATATATATATATATATATATATATATATATATATATATATATATATATATATATATATATATATCATTATTCTTGTTATAATCTAATTAAATAATAAATATATATAATATTATATATATATATATACAAAATTGGTTATAAATATCTAAATATAATGTTATCAGACACAGTTTACAGAAATATATATAAATTAGTTAGATATATAACTTGGAGAAAATATCAAGAATTCATGACACTACAGATCTGTTCAGATCAGAAAAAAAGCATAAATGTAATGTTTAATAATAAAACTAATTAATAAAATTATAAAATAATAATTTATAATAATTGTATTATTCATGTTATGCTTTTAGTTGGTTATTATATTGGTTATCAGACACATGGAAATTATATTGTATCAGCTGTATAATACATTATTGTTTAATCTCTATTTTCCACGATTGTAGGAACCCTGGAAAATATGAAAACATGATGAAATTGAATATCATAACTAAGTTGCTATTACAAAATTCAGTAAAAGCAGATCACAGTACCTGAGAGAAAGCACTGACTCCTTTATCTGTGCGGCCGCAGCGATGATAGTTGGAGGTCTGTCTGTCCTGGATCAGTTTAGTCTTCAGCAGGGCCTCAAAAAGCCGGGCTTCAACGGTGTTGTCTGTGTTTTCTTGGACAGCGAAGCCCTGATATTGCCAGCCGAGATATGCCAGCCTCAGTGCCACATGTCTGCGAGGGTGGGCAGAGAAGTCAAAGGGCCTTTCTGCTCCTCGTTTCTTCTGTTTGGATCTGTTCTCTTCACCTTTCTGATGTTTGAAGCTGTCTGATGCTTCAGTTCTCTCCTCTGTCCCAGCTCCATCTCTCTCTACTTTCAGCTGAGCTTTCAGTCTCCCCACCTCCTCTTCCAAAGCCTTCACACGAGCCAGCAAGACCTCTTCTGACATCTTTACAATAAACACAGATCTGTGAAATACATAACAGAGAGCTCATATAACAGCTTTTCACTATAATGTGTGCATGTATGTGAATGCAGTTCTTGCTTATGTTAACAATAATCAGAGATTTGTGAAATAATTCACAGTGAGCTTCACATATCGTCATCAGTGCAGTTCTCAAACAGATGCTTCAGTAGAATCAAACGAGACCTAGAGGAGGTGTTTAATGTGCAAATCTCCACGTGCTTCCTTCCTATCAACTTTCTGGGCTTCCTAATATTTTTATAAATATATAGTTTATAAAACTACAAAAAAAAAAAGAAGATTTAATTATACTCACATCCTTCATGAAGTTTCACGAAAATAGCGAAATAACAAATTCTGAACAGTAACTTTTACACACAGGACGGTGCACTGCATTGACTTCCGTCAAGCCACCCTTCAAAATAAAAGTCTGGCACACATACACTGACTTGAATGCACTTGTAAGCTGCGCATCCCAAATAAGGGGAGTGGCAACGCTATTAGCGTCCACAGTGTTTTACTCATGATGTGCCGGGGAAGAGAAACACCTGTGGTGCATTAGCAATCAGGAATCAAAGTTATAAAGGTATGATGTATTTGTTGTTGTGCTGGGGGGGTTTTTCTGTGGCTGCTGCTGAGTTCCTCGCCGAGGCTACCGTGCCGGGACGTGGGTTGGAGATAGACGCGTGCGAATAGCGACTGGGAGGGATATTGTGCTGGGGTTTTCCCCTCTTAAGTTTGGCGGCCGCCGTTGATTTCCTTGAATGCGGGAACCCACGTCCGGTAGCGGGTAAGGAAGCCAGCAGTACACTCTCATTTGATTGCGGTTGATGTCTGTGTTGGTATTGTGTTTTTTCGCCGGGGAGGCCCTAATTTATGTGTGCAACTATTGGTCCCCCGGCGCCATTTGTGTGTAAAGTGAGCGTGTGTGTGAGTAAGGGGGTAGGAGAGCAGGTTGTTATCTTCCACATGCCTTTTATACTGTATATTGACGACGGCTATGTATTTAGCGTGAGTGGTATTGATGGGATGTCCTGATACTTGGTGTGTATTTATTGGTGTGGTATTTACGTGATTTATATGACTTTGAGGGTTGCAGTGCAATGAAATTATGCATGCTTGGTTATCACATGAATTGATTTAATGCATGTATTTAACAACCTTTGAGACCCGTGCTGAATATATTGTCCTGTTTGTTGATGCTTTATTCTTCGCTAAGTTTATTGATTAAATGTTAGCATTCATTACAAATACATGATTAGAATTGCTCCTGTCTTTGCATTAACCTGTTATCCCCCCCTTGGGTTTTAACCCCACGATTGTCTAAAAATAAAATTGTTATATTTATATCTAATGCATTGTGCACGTGAGTTTTCCTTGGTTATTGAGCCACAGAAAATTATTGGTCCAGTAGAGAACCTGTAAATCACCCTTATTACGAGTTGGGGTGGTTACAACTTGGCGTAGTTTTGGCAGTCTGGACTGTGGGCAATAACCAGGAAAATGTCAACTGCACAACCATCAGTGCAGTTACCTTCTACATCAAGTGAGGGGCAGCAGAGAGTAGATGGTTCACCGGATATGGCTCAGAATCAAGCAACAAATGCAAATATGTTTATGTTTCCAATGATGATGGGGACACCTTGGTGTCAAAAATTTAATGGAGATCAAATTGCACAGGGGAATAATTTTCAGGATTGGTATAATATGCAGACATCAACGTTCAATATATACCCTTTTTCTGAGGTGCAAAAGGTCTCTGCTGTAATAAGTAATCTTGATGGGGAAGCAAAGAGGGAAGTGTTGGCCTTGCCAACAGCACAGCGTACGACAGCTGATCAGATATTGTCATTTTTGAAAAGCATTTATGGAGATATTGTCCCCCTTGCAACCCTTCGTGCCCAATTTTTTACTCGCAAACAGAGGACAGATGAGAATGTTAGGCAGTTTGCCTTGGCACTTCAAGAATTGAGTAATCGGTTGGAGAATAGGGGCGATGGCACCATTATGGGTAATGTTTTACGTGACCAATTTATTTTGGGACTCTGTGATGCAGGATTGCGTAGGGAACTACGGGGTATGGTCAGGGCAGCTCCTGATAGTTCTTTTGTAGAAGTTAAACAAGAAGCAATCCTGCGAGCAGAGGAATTTGGGGAGGTAAGGCAAGCAGTAGCTGCAACAGTGCAGTTAAAACCAGCCCCTGATACAACAAAATTGGTGGAGGAGATTAAACAGGAGGTCTTTTTGCAGTTAAAAGGAGAAATAAAGGAAATGGTGGCTGGAATGATTAAGGAAGTCCGTGAAGGAGTACAGCACTTATTGCCAAGTAGTGATGATGCAAGATCTAGGTATGAGTTAAGGAGGGGTCGGAGAAGCTCAGATCAATTTGACCATCAGGGAAGACCTATCTGCCGACGTTGTAAACAAGTTGGGCATATCGAAAGACGTTGTAGGGTTGTAGAGGGAGCACAGGGGCCTTTAAACTTTTAGAACCCACTGTACAGGCCCAATCAGTGGGTACATTTGGTAGTGGCCAATCAGAAAAGGATCATTTAATAGGACAATGTCCATCTGTGGAAGTGGTGATACAGGGGGTTAAAACGCCTTGCTTGATTGATACGGGTTCACAAGTGACTACATTGACCGAAAGTTATTTCAAAAAATATTTTGAGACCAGAGGACCAACAATGTATCCACCAATTCAAAAGTTCAATTTGGTAGCTGCTAATGGGTTAACGATTCCGTACATTGGATATATTGAGGTAGATTTGAATATATGTGGGAAAGTTATACCAAAAAGAGGAGTGTTGATTGTTAAAGACTCAAATGGATCATTGTACCCAGGACTAATTGGCATGAATGTGATTAAGGAGTGTAGAGATTTCCTGATGACACAGACTGGGGTTAGTTGTGTAGGGGCAGAAGGCGAAATGCAGGTTAAGGTGTGGCATCAGATGTTTTCGGTGTGTGAAGATCTGTTCAAGTTTGCTGATGAGTCAGGACAGATAAGTTCAATTTACTGGCCGCAGGGAAGACGGAAGACAATACCAGCTCAGTCAGAGGTAGTGATAGAGGCATGTGCACGTTTACGACCTGATAGGAAGGATTATGTGGGTTTAGTAGAACCTTGTCAAGATGTATTGCCGGGGCAGTTATTGGTAGCTAGATCACTGAGCACGGTTTCAAAGGGTAGAGTTATGGTCAGAATTCTAAATCTTTCTACAGCCCCAGTGACTCTTTTTCAGCGCTGTCGAATAGGGCAGATTTTTGACGTTGAGTTGTGTCCAAGTCGGCAAGGAGATGTAGAGTTAAGACAGTTGGATGATGAGACAGTGGAGGTGGGGGTGAGGCAGAATAGAGTGCAGGATGTAGAACAAGAACAGGTGTTTCGGCCGGTGACTGTCCCATTAGACCCATTACAATTTAGCACTGAACAACAAGAGATGATTGCCAAATTGTTATCCAAGCATCAGAAGGTCTTCTCAGAACATGAGGAGGATTATGGGTACACTGATAGGGTGTTGCATGTGATACCAACAGGCGATTCAGCTCCAATTAGAGAACGGTATAATAGGATTCCACCAAAATTATATCAAGAAGTGAGGGGACTTTTGAGTAATATGCTTGAAAATGGTATTATTAGGGAGAGCTATAGCCCCTGGGCAGCGCCTGTAGTGCTTGTCAGAAAGAAGGACGGCACCCTTCGTTTCTGTGTAGACTACAGGAGGTTGAATGGTGTTACCCATAAAGATTCGTACCCCCTCCCCAGAATTGAAGAATCATTGGCTTCATTGAAGCAATCTAGAGTTTTTTCAACATTGGATCTAGCACATGGGTACTGGCAGGTGGGGGTGCATCCAGCTGATAAGGAGAAGACTGCCTTTGTGACCCCTATGGGGTTATATGAATTTAATCGGATGCCGATGGGGCTATGCAATGCTCCGGGAACATTTCAGAGACTGGTTGAAAGTTGCCTGGGTGACCAAAATTTCGAAACATTGTTGCTCTACTTGGATGATATAATTGTTTTCTCCCCTTCTTTTGAGGCCCACATTGCCCATCTGGACTTGGTTTTCAGCCGCCTGGAGAACTTTGGCCTGAAAGTTAAACCTACAAAGTGCTTTCTCTTCCAGCATGAAGTGCATTATTTAGGCCATGTGATTGCAGAAGGAGGGGTGTCACCAGACCCAGAGAAGTTGCGAGCAGTGGAGGCCTGGGCAACTCCTCAGAATATCACCCAGCTGCGCGCTTTCCTGGGCTTGGCAGGGTATTATAGACGTTTTATAAAGAACTTTGCCCACATCGCAGCACCCCTGAATTCTATGATGTGGGGGACATCAAAACGACGCATCCGACCGGCTAAAGGTAAACAAGACTGCTGGGCATGGGGAGAGGAACAGGACATGGCATTTAAGAAATTAAAGGAGTCTCTCCTACAAGCACCCATACTGGCTTATGCAGACTTTCAAGTGCCATTTTTGTTGTATACTGATGCCAGTCAGACAGGCTTGGGGGCAGTACTGGCACAGATACAAGATGGAAGGGAGAGAGTGATTTCCTATGCAAGCAGAAGCCTCCGTCCAACAGAAAGAAATGATAAAAACTACAGTTCATTCAAATTAGAACTGTTGGCGTTGAAATGGGCTATAGTAGAAAAGTTTCGGGAATATCTTGCTGTGTCTCCCTTTACTGTGTTCACAGATAACAATCCACTGGCTCATTTGAATACGGCAAATCTGGGTGCAGTGGAGCAACGATGGGCGGCCCAGCTCGCAGGATTCCAGTTTGAGGTGCGGTATAGACCGGGGCGGACAAATGGTAACGCTGATGCCCTCTCCAGGTGGCCTGTGAATGAGACTTCTGTCAGGACTACAGAAGATGGGATAGCCCCAGGTGGTGAGGGTGGATATGTAGCATCTGAAGTGGTCCGTGCCTGTGTCCAGGCTTTTGTTCCAGTGGTTGATGTCGTACTGGAGGAGGGTCAGAAGATGGAGGCAGGGGCACAAACAAATAAAGACAGAGTTGGCCCCAGTTTGCTGGCTGAGTGGGTAAGGGCACAGCGGAATTGTCCCGTGGTGTCACGACTGTGGGTCTATATGGACAGAGGAAGAGGGCCAGTTCCAAGAGAGCGAGCAGCTGAAGACCGGCCCACTCAAGTGCTGCTGCGACAGTGGGCCCGCCTCTGTGTGGATCAGGGGCTGCTGTGCAGGGAGGTATGTGATCCAAAGACATTCGATAAATGCAAACAAGTGGTTGTACCTCAGTGTCTGCAGAATCAAGTCCTGGGATGGGTGCATGACCACGCAGGACACCTGGGAATGGAAAAGACCCTGGGCTTGGCCCGTCGACGTTTCTTCTGGCCAGGGCTGGCGCGAGGAGTGGAGAAGTGGTGTCTCCAATGTGCTCGTTGCAATCTGCACAAGACCCCAGCCAATAAAGTGAGTGCCCCCCTGGTATCTATACAATCAGAATACCCTCTGCAGATTGTTTCTGTCGACTTTCTGTCACTGGAGACTTCACGCAGTGGAATGTGCAATATTTTAGTAATGATGGATCACTTCACTCGTTATGCAGTTGCAGTGCCAACTTTGGACCAAACAGCAGTGACTACCGCAAGGGTGTTGTGGGGACACTTTATACAGCCTTTTGGGGGGTTTGATCAGCTGCACTCTGACCAGGGGCCCAATTTTGAATCAAAAGTCATCAAAGAATTGTGTTCATTGTACAACATCAGTAAGTCTCACACTACGCCCTATCACCCAGCAGGAAATGGACAATGTGAGCGCTTTAATCGGACATTGCTGAGCATGCTGGGTACATTAAGGGACGATCAGAAGGAGAACTGGGATCAGTATGTGGCAGAGTTGGTACAGGCCTACAATAATTCACCCCATTCCTCTACAGGGTATACCCCCTATTTTCTAATGTTTGGCCGTCATGCGAAATTACCCATTGATGTGATGCTGGGTCGGGGAGATGAGTTCTCAGGCACAGCTGGTAGCTGGGTGCACCACCACCATGAAAGACTAGTGACTGCCTATAATCAAGCCAGAAAACAGGTTCAGAAGGCTCAAGTTCATCAAAAGAAGGGGTTTGACCGTAGGGTCAAGGGGGAACCCTTGTTGGTGGGTCAGAGAGTCATGGTACTGAATAAGAGGGCCAGGGGACAGGGTAAATTGGATGATAAATGGGAACGGGATACATATATAGTTACGTCACAACCTAATCACGATATACCCGTCTATGTGGTTAAGAAGGAAAGGGGTGATGGTGGCGAGAGAGTGTTGCATCGCAATATGTTAAGCCCATGTAAGTTTGAAATTTCCTTGCCCTCAGAGGAGGAAGTAGAGGTCATGCATCCTAATTCTAATGTCAATCCTATGAACAGTAATTGGTGTATGTATCCTTGGGTGGGGGGCTGTCTTACAGGTCTGCCAGTACCCAAACAGAAGGATGGAGAGACTGCCCTTAATATGGACATTGATGAAGCGACATTACAGACTGCACAGGGGGAAAATCCCCCTTGTTCACCTGCTTCACAGGTCGAATGTTCAAGACGGTCAACCCGGGCCACGAAGGGCCTGTTGCCTCAACGTTATAGAATGTGAAGTATTCGAGTGGGAATGTGCGGACACATTTAGAGTAGGGGGGGTGGATGTAAGCTGCGCATCCCAAATAAGGGGAGTGGCAACGCTATTAGCGTCCACAGTGTTTTACTCATGATGTGCCGGGGAAGAGAAACACCTGTGGTGCATTAGCAATCAGGAATCAAAGTTATAAAGGTATGATGTATTTGTTGTTGTGCTGGGGGGGTTTTTCTGTGGCTGCTGCTGAGTTCCTCGCCGAGGCTACCGTGCCGGGACGTGGGTTGGAGATAGACGCGTGCGAATAGCGACTGGGAGGGATATTGTGCTGGGGTTTTCCCCTCTTAAGTTTGGCGGCCGCCGTTGATTTCCTTGAATGCGGGAACCCACGTCCGGTAGCGGGTAAGGAAGCCAGCAGTACACTCTCATTTGATTGTGGTTGATGTCTGTGTTGGTATTGTGTTTTTTCGCCGGGGAGGCCCTAATTTATGTGTGCAACTATTGGTCCCCCGGCGCCATTTGTGTGTAAAGTGAGCGTGTGTGTGAGTAAGGGGGTAGGAGAGCAGGTTGTTATCTTCCACATGCCTTTTATACTGTATATTGACGACGGCTATGTATTTAGCGTGAGTGGTATTGATGGGATGTCCTGATACTTGGTGTGTATTTATTGGTGTGGTATTTACGTGATTTATATGACTTTGAGGGTTGCAGTGCAATGAAATTATGCATGCTTGGTTATCACATGAATTGATTTAATGCATGTATTTAACAACCTTTGAGACCCGTGCTGAATATATTGTCCTGTTTGTTGATGCTTTATTCTTCGCTAAGTTTATTGATTAAATGTTAGCATTCATTACAAATACATGATTAGAATTGCTCCTGTCTTTGCATTAACCTGTTATCCCCCCCTTGGGTTTTAACCCCACGATTGTCTAAAAATAAAATTGTTATATTTATATCTAATGCATTGTGCACGTGAGTTTTCCTTGGTTATTGAGCCACAGAAAATTATTGGTCCAGTAGAGAACCTGTAAATCACCCTTATTACGAGTTGGGGTGGTTACACACTGATTTATTCCAATGAATGTGCAATACCTTCCTCATTGCTGTATCTTTTTCATAATTTTTTTTTTATATATACATATATATACAATAAAATAAAATACAATACATTGATACATGCATTCTGTTGCTTTACTGTACTTGATTTAATTGTTTATTAAATAACAATGTAATTATTACTATACATAAGGAATATTATCGATAACTATGGTTTTATTATTATCACAATTTAGTATATTTAGCATTTATTTAAATAAGTGCCAATTAGAGTCTAGTTCCCGATCCAAGGGTTCTTCCTTATTTACCTGACCATTTTCCTTATTTTCCTTGCCACAGTTGCCTTTGGCTTTATAACTATTTTCTGTGAAGTTGTTCGATTTATTGTAATAAAAATGTGCATTTCACCGCCCATTTGAACTGGAAAGTTTAATAATAACCATCCACTCTTTGACAATTTTCTATTTCCTCATCATTTTCTTCCTGATAAACAGCATCGCTATATGCTGTTAAACAGCCTCATAAAATCAGTTGTTAATGTCATTATAGGGATCACACACATTCAATGGAATGGAATCATGTGATGAATACAACAAAGTTTCCTCGTTTTCTTTCAATCCGGAATTCTCATTGGCTCAAGCTCCTCAGAGGCCATTGAGGCAGTCTCGTGATTGGTCGTCTGCCTCCCCATTGACTCACATTGCTTCCTGCTCACGCGAAGGAAATCAATAGTAGAAAAGTGTAAAGTTTTAAAACCTACATCTGTTGCACCGATGCAACTAACGTCACAGAACTCAAAATGAGACATTGTAAGCGCAGCGCATTGCTCGCGCTTGTGTTTGTTACATTGTTGCAGTCGGTCTGCAGCGACTTTCAGACTCTCGCGCATCTGAGAGCGAAGGCGAGCGATAAAACCCAGTCCAGAGCTGTGGTGGACCTGCTCAGGAGACTGCTGGGCAACAGATCTCGGGATTTCATCGTGTCAGTCAACAGGACTCTGTCTAATGAAACTTTAGACGTGTGTGAGCTGCGATCCGCGAAAAACAACAAGATCATAGCAGTGGGCAGCACGGGGGTCGCGGTGGCCACCGGGATATACAACTATCTGAAATACTTCTGCAACTGTCATGTGTCCTGGTCTGGAGATCAGTTAAATCTGCCCCGACCCCTGCCTCCTCTCACCGGCGTCCTGCGCATCAAAACACCGCACAGGTACACATGTTAAAAATCTCCATAGCTCGAAAAAAAAAAGTGATTCGAGATTGAGACTATAAATCATAAGTAAAACAGAAAGTTCGAAAAAATATATAAAACACATTCCACAGAGTATAATATTATATGTATTATTATTTTTTTTTAATTATTATTTATTTGTCACTGACCCATACATGACTTCATATGTAAAAAAAAAAAAAAAAAATGCCACAGATAAATGACATTACAGGCCAACTAAATTATCATTAATCATAGATCATTATCATAGATTAATAACTTTTGATAATTCAAATTAATGAAGCTCTGGAGAGTGTTTCAAACCTAAATGTTCCTATGAAGCGCTCATAGCATTTACATATTTATAATTCACCTTTATCATATGCATGCATTTTAATTCTTAAATCTGATAAATGTTCAGCAAATTTCTTATTCCTATAGGGACTGATGCTCATATCTGATCCAACTATTCCAGATATTTTGCTGAACAAAAAATAGATATTAGTGATATTTTAATATTACTATATCGATTAACAAACACCTCGTTATCCCAATCCAGATTGACTTTCACGTTCACTTTTCTCCTCTTTTCTTGCAACCTTCCATACTCGGACTAAAATTAGATATTAGTGATATGTGACAATTTTGATATTATCATATCAATTAACATATTCCTCTTTATGCCAGTTCAAAATAAACTGGCTGTATTTTCTCATAACTTTTTTTTTTCTTCATTTTTTGTGAATTTTGTGCAAAATGTTTTCATTTTAAATATTATGTAAAAAATTATCAGGTATTGAAAAATCCATATTGGTCAAGCACAATTGATGTACTGTATATATTTCTATAAAATAGTTGCAAAAGGACTGACATTTAATGTCTGTTGTAGCACAGATATCAAACAAAATACTATAGTAACTATCACTAGTTTTCTCAATGTGATTAAGCTGGACTATTTAATGTTTATTGTAATGTAATGTAGTTCAGATTTGTGCAACTAAGCATAATTTTATAGACTAATGGACTAATGCACTCGTTATTAGGTGTCTAGGCAAGATTGTCTATGTGTCTTCTTTGTTCATTTTGTTATTTGCATGTTTCTGCAGGCATCTTGTCATTCAGTGTGTGTGTGTGTGTGTGTGTGTGTGTGTGTGTGTGTGTGTGTGTGTGTGAAAAAATGCAGCATTGTTGATTCTCCCCGCTATTGTTCATGCGCATGTTTTGTTGTAGCCGGACCTTTTTTGTCGTCTGATTGTGTGTTTGTCTTGTTAGTTCTGCATGAGCTGGCCTGTACTATGTCACTCTCAGAGACGCCGGCGAACAGTGATTTTCACACAATGTGGAAATGACGTTATGAATGAGGTCATGTTCCTTACAACTCCAAAACAGTAAATAGTATTGCCAAGTACATCACAAGTAGGAGATAACAATCATTGAGCTGTGCCAGCAAACCTATTTCAGCAAATTCATCTATTTTAGTGTTTGTGTAACTGAAGGTTCAGGTACTATCAGAACGTGTGTACCCAGAGTTACTCCTCCGTGTGGTGGGATTGGCCGAGGTGGCAAAGGGAGATTGATTGGATGGCACTGAATGGCATAAATCTTCCACTGGCATTCACTGGACAGGAGGTGCTATGGCAAGAGGTGAGAGTATCTGTGAATTCAGTTTTATAAATGTATATTTTTCAGAGTATTGTGTTTTATATTTGCCTGTTTTCTTTTCCTGGTGTACTGTAGGTTTATCTGTCTCTCGGTTTGAACCAGACTGAGATGGATCGCTTCTTCACAGGTCCAGCTTTCCTAGCGTGGAACCGCATGGGAAACCTGTTTCAGTGGGGAGGACCACTTCCTCAGTCTTGGCATGTCAAACAGCTCTACCTGCAGGTACTGAGCAGACTTTTGATCAGATAACAAAAGGAGAGGACAGAGGAGTGATGTGGTGTTATTTTTCAGGTTTTATTTTTATGGTTTTCTATTTAGGAATAAGCTTGAACATAGCAATTGCGAGAGATAAACTCGTAATTCGAACTTTTTTTCTCGCAATTCTGACTTTATATCTTACAATTCTGAGAAATAAAGTCAGAATAGCAAGATGTAAACTCACAATTGTGAGATAAAAAGTCGCAATTATCTTTTAAAGTCAAGTAGAGCGTCAAAGTTGCTTGTATCTTTGATATTCAATAAAACTACAAAGTAACCATAAAGATACTTAAGTATAGGTACTAATTACATTTTCTGAAATACTTTACTCCACTGATATTAAGAGGCCAGATTAGACCAGAATATCTAAGCCACATTTAGAGGCAGTCATAGAGACTTGTGGGTAGCAATCATAAAACAAGCTTTACCAAGTTGCTAAAAAACTATCTTACTAAAAACATTCCAAGCACTCTAGCATTATGACAACTTTTGCATAGGCAAGCACCACCAGAAAATGTAAAAATGTAGTTGCACATAGTCATGCATTAAAATTTTGCTATTAAAAATCTTTTAAATATTGTACCTTTTATTCCTGCAGTTTAAAATATTGGACCGTATGAGATCTTTTGGGATGATACCTGTATTGCCTGCTTTTTCAGGAATAGTACCTGAAGGTATTACCAGGTAATATTCCTCAAATATGTCTTTCTCACATTTTTCAGGAGTGCAGATTTTAGATCTTGAGATTCCAAGTGTTTTTGGTTGTTTTTTAAGTGCATTTTTACGACTGTTAGATTTCCTAAATCTTCTTGGGATAATAAAAATAAGTTACATTAAATAAATCATAGTATAAGAAAAAGTTTTTTTTGTAATTTCAAATCAAGGAATTATTGTTTGAAATTGTACGAAAGTTGTTTTTACTAGGTGCCGCTTAGGTCAATCGAGATTCACACAAGGTTATTAGGCATCATGCCTTCCTTGTTAAACTCCAATGACTGTTAAATATATTTGACTGGACTGCCCTGTTTTTAATATATATATAGAAAACATTTTTATTCAGAGATATGTGTAACTGATGTATTTAAAAAGTTTCACCTCAATGTATTAAATGTCTTGTATAGCTTTTTGTTAATTGTATGTTTTTGTTATTTACCATTATAAATAGCCTTGTCGCTGACATGGCGTTAAAAAAAATAATATACAGTATAATTATTTATTTGGATATGGTCAGTGCAATAAAAATGTCTAAAGAGCATATAACTTGTTTTCTTCTGTTTACCAGATATGTGAAGATATAGTGCGATAGTGAAATAATCACATTTAGCAATGTCCCGTAGGTTGTTTCCCCAAGCAAACGTGACCAAGTTGAACCCCTGGAGCCATTTTAACTGTACCTACTCCTGCGCCTACGTCCTGGACCCACGCGACCCGCTCTTCCAGCGAATAGGAACGCTCTTTTTGACCCAGGTCATTAAGGAGTTTGGAACAGACCACATTTACAACACAGACACCTTTAATGAGATGATCCCAGCCTCCTCAGACCCCACTTACCTGGCATCTATAAGCCGTGCCGTTTTCAGTACTATGACTTCAGGTAACTATGCCATTGTTATTCCACCAAAAAGAGTTTGTGTTGAAAATAATTCAAGTGGTATTGTCCTAGATGTTGCTCATTGCATTTGCTCTAGTTTTATAACCCACAATTGACCCGTTTCTTTTCTGAGGCACAGTTGGAGTTCCCAACCCCATGATGGGTTGAGGCATGGCGCCCTCACAACTGCTTACACAGATGCGTTGATTACTTATTGTCTCCTATTTACTCTCTCTCTTTCTGGCAGTGGACCCTCAAGCAATTTGGCTGATGCAGGGCTGGCTATTTATCAGTGACCCTTCGTTCTGGAAACCAGACCAGGTCAAGGCATTGTTACACGGCGTCCCCCTGGGGCGCATGATTGTCCTGGATCTCTTTGCTGAATCCATGCCTGTCTACTCTTCCACAAACTCCTTCTACGGCCAGCCGTTTATCTGGTGCATGCTTCACAATTTTGGAGGGAATAGCGGTCTGTTTGGAACGGTGGAGAGCATTAACTCCGGCCCCTTCAATGCCATCCGCTTCCCGAATTCAACCCTAGTGGGTTTGGGTTTGACCCCTGAAGGCATCGAACAGAATCCAGTTGTTTATGAGCTCATGACTGAGCTGGCCTGGCGCAAAGAACCTGTCAACCTTTCCAAATGGGTATCGCTGTATGCCTTGCGGCGCTATGGTACCATGGATGAGAACCTGACAGTGGCCTGGCAGCTCTTGTTTCATAGCGTCTACAACTGCACTCTTCCAAAATACAAGAACCACAACCGGAGTCCTTTGGTACATCGGCCGTCCCTGCACATGCAAACAGACATTTGGTATAAACCGGCTGACTTCTACAAGGCATGGAAGCTTCTGTTCGAGGCATCACCAGGGTTAGTCACTCTGGAAACCTTCCGGTATGATCTTGCGGACGTGACGCGACAAGCTCTCCAGCTTCTTACAACTGAATTCTACAAGGAAATACGGAATGCTTTCCAGGTAAACACAAACGTAATGGTTATCGTTGATACTGATGAACTAGCAAACCAGTCCTATTAGTTGAAAATTTAAAGGGATAGTTCCCCCAAAAATTGTAATTCTGTCATTAATCACTCTCCCTCATGTCGTTCCAAACCTGTAAGACTTTCGTTCATCTTCGGAACACAAATGAAGATCTTTTTGATGAAATCTGAGAGCTTTCTGTCCCTCCATTGACAGCTACGCAACTACCACTTTGACGCTTCAAAAAAGTCATAAAGAGATCGTAAAATAAATCGAGCGGTTTAATCCAAGTCTTCTAAAGAGACTCAATCACTTTATATGATGAATAGATTTAATTTAGGCTTTTATTTATATATAATCATTGATCAGCGAACATAACCAGAAGCTCAACTGTACTTGCTTGACGCACGAGAATAAACCTCATTGGTTCCTTCAAGTCAAGCGAACATGCCTGAGCTTCCTTGACCAAATATGAATTGAGCGGTTTAGTCCAAATTTTCTGAAGAGACTCGATCGCTTTACATGATGAACAGATTGAATTTAGGCTTTTATACACATTCTGCTTTCACATGACCAATTTTCCACGTGAAACGTGCTCTGTTTCAAACTTACACTGCCAGTGTGAAAGCCCTGTGGTGTGTACAAAATTACAGCTTTGAAATATTATTTTTTTTGTTCGATTCTCAGGCCCAAAAGCTTCCTGACCTCCTGAATGCTGGTGGTGTGCTTGTCTACGATCTCTTACCTGAACTGGACCGCCTCCTTTCCAGCAACGAACACTTCCTTTTGGGGGTGTGGCTTGATCAGGCTCAGTCTCAGGGTGTGGACGAGCACGAGGCGCAGCTGTATGATATCAATGCACGAAATCAGATCACCCTATGGGGACCCGATGGGGAAATCCTGGACTACGCCAGCAAGGAGTGGGGTGGTCTAGTGGAAGACTATTATTCACAGCGCTGGGGCTTGTTTGTTAATACGCTAGTGGAGTGTCTGGACAGAGGAAGACCCTTCAAACAGGACGTGTTCAACCAGGCCGTGTTCCAGGTTGAGAAGGGGTTCGTCTACAACCAGAGGAAATATCCGTCCAAACCACTAGGCAACACATATGACATTGCACGACGGATCTTCCTCAAATACTACCCATATGCGCTGAAAAGCCTAAAATGAAGAGAACTTGATGAGTTTGATCCACAGAAATCCACTATAAAACATTTAGGTATCAAACTGATATGGTGGCCAACAATGGTCAAAACACCAGCTTGCATTTTATTTATCTTTTTACTTTTCTTTTAAAACGATGCCTAAACTATTATGAGAGACTAATATGACATTCTAAGAAGATTTAGAAGTCTTGTAGAAACTTCTGATTGCTTTTTATATAAGATACTGAGGTTTATTGCATTATGAATGTGTTTTTGCAAAAGTATTGTGCCACTGAGAATATCAGCAGCACAGCTACCATTTTAATTGTTGAATTTTTAGGCCTGAAACAAATGATGTCCAAGTATGCGATCTAGTAAGCTCAGTTTTGCACAACCTTCTTAATGCAATGCAAGTACACTTTGCATTCTCAGTGAGCATTAGCAATGGCAAGAAGAAAAATTGCAGAAAATCTTGCTGAGAAAATTAGTTATTTCTATCGCCTGTTGCACTGTTGTCAATATTCTTGCAATGAGTTGGACAAGGGTTTGTATCTGTATTTGCGTGTTGTTTCTGGCCTCAGTCTTAGCACTGTGTTAGTACAGAAATATTGTGTGCATTTCTTTCAGGTTTCTTATGACATTTCAGGTTTTTTATGTATGTCAAATATACTGTATATACTTAATCTATTTTGCCACCCCTAAATATTGTGTGAAATGGGGAAAAAAATATTATAGACAATACATGGTTGTAGGCATTGTAAATGCGCTGCTTTGTTAAATTAAAAGAAACTGGGTCATTCCTCCCGTCTGGATCCCGTATGCCAGACAAAATACTGCTACAGAAGTTGGCTCACATTTTAAAATGGATGCACAAATATCTTTGAAATGAGCCTGTGAAACTTTGGAAGTTTATTACTATCTTCAGATTGAGTTTAATTGTTTTAGGAGATTGTTGTGGACATTGTTTAGATTTTGTTCAGTCTACAATTGTTTTTTGTTAACTTGCACAGACAGATAGTCACTAAGACCTGTACATTAGAAATTTCTGAATTGAAAAGTTATTTTTGTATTTTTGGCAAATAAAATCTGTACTTTTAATACTTTTTAGTGGTCTGTCATAAATACAGTCAAAGGCCCTCCAATGAAGCATTTATTATTATTGTTGGTGTTGTTATTCTTTCATTTCTGTAGGACACAAGAAAGTTAAAATGGATGTTTGAGCTGTTTTAATTGAAAGCAACTTGGGTTTTTTTCTAAGCCACGTTTATAAAAGCTATTTAAATGTCCTATTTGAACTAAGGCCTAATTCTGTCATAATCTAAGCCCTGTCTGTGAAACCAGGCCATTGTGTTTATAGAGGATTAATTATCCTCACTAGAACTTGATCTGAAAAGTGGGATTATTTCAGAAATAACATTTTATGATGATAAAAAATAATAATTTGTCTAAATAATTTGAAATGACAAGAAGAGAAATGTTCATATTTGGTGACAAATTAGTTCGTATGCATTTATAAACTACATTTCCCATGATTCATTAGGGCAGGAACTCTCTCTGACAGCCAATCAGCAGTCAGTATTCCAGCACATGGCCGTCTAGGTCAACTCAACTGTACATGAGTTCGCTCTCCTGAGCAAAACATTAGTGTTTTATATGGTCATTATGACGAAGGCTGATATTAGACAGTTGACTTCTGCAATATTATTCCGCATTTAGCATTTCTCAACACCCTAATCGGCAGAATATACAAGGTAGGTTTTGCTGAAGTAGTCTGTTGTTACTGTGTGTTTTTCCGGATCAGCTGTGTTGGTTTTGCACTAACCTGGAATCATTCATCGATAGGAAATATAAGAGCTCAGCAATTTTTCAATGTCTGTTGCTACTTTAAATAAGTAACCGATTCAGTAAATTAGTTATTGCAGGTATTTACGTATGTGTATGAAATTTCCACTATTCTGTTCTTTTCTTGTTTTATTAGTCATTTTGTATTGAAATGTATCAAACGTTCCAAGACTAACAGCAATATTTCTATTCTATTCTTATTATAATTTTTTTATCATGTTTTATTGAATTCATTTAATCAAAATTGCAAGATTAAAGAGCTATAGATTATATTTTATTTTTAATATATATAGCTCCTTTTCAGAGAATAAATACGCTTTACAATAATACATAGACAATAAACAGTTGTTGCCAAAAACAAAAGATAATAACATTATTACATAGATAAAAACATAACTACATAATCATTTATTTGTGGTATTTATTAGTTGCAAAGTGAGTATGTAAGATATGCATTTTCATATGTATCTATAAGCATATTCTTATAGGACTGCATAAAGCAGCTGTCCATGATCACTGTGTTATATCTATATTATATCTTTCAGCATCTCAGACCAGAAGGTCACCATCAGCTGTCAATCATGTCCATGTTCAGCACCGGTATCCTGGTCCTTACGTCTCCGTTACACGTTCTTCCTCTCCGCATAGCGCCTGTACTCACATCTGCCGCCCAGGTGGTTGAGCGCACGCTTTACGTCCATCTCCACCCCGGCCTGAACCTGGGCACAGGTGTGCAGGTGCGGCCCGTCTACATCCCACCCGTGGCTGATCTTTGCACTCTCATCTCCCGCCTTTACAGCAACGCAGCTGACATTTGTGCTCACCTTGACGTCAGGGTTCTGCTCACTAATGTCCGTGGCCAACCGGCACCATTGAGCGGAAACAACGGCCCGTTCCCCACCCCACAGACGCTGTCCCACTCGCCAGAAGTCGTGCTAACAGACTTCCCCATCCAGGATTCAGGCCAGTCCTCGCTGGTCACCCAGTGCTTGCAGAAGTACGCAGGTCACTGCTACGTCTGCACCCCGAGTCTCTCATCTGTGCTTCTGTACCCACGACTAAAAGAGGTTAGCGGTGAGGAAGATGATGATAGAGGAGGAAGAGGTGCACAATTAAAACCCTTAGAGACATTCAGTGATGTGGTTGTTGGCGGCACTTTTGACCGTCTACATGGCGCCCACAAGACCCTGCTGAATATTTCCTGTCTGCTGGCCAACAGACGTTTTGTCATTGGTGTGTGTGACCAGGAACTCCTAAAAAGTAAGTGGAGACCCTCTAGAAAGCTTTACAAGTTTGTTGGATGAATAACCAGTCTAATAAATTGTCTATTGTGTTCTGTAGAGCTGATTATACATTGTTAAAAATAAAGGTTCTTTATTGCTATTAATGGTTCAGAACCTTTAACATCCATAGAACTTTTCCATTGCAGTAAATGTACTTTATAGTGGAAAAAGGTCCTTTAGATTATTAAAGTGTTGTTCACACTAAGAAAAAACTGTTCACTGAAAGGTTCTTTGGGGAACCAAAAATGGTTTGCTGTGAAAAACACCTTTTTGGAACCTCTATTTTTAAAGTCCCCATGAAGTTTTTTGGCTTTTAGTATGAATATGCTATCCTTAAGGTTATCTATAATCTAGTGTGCTCCAAAACAAATGACAAAATTTGGATTTAGAAGATATAAGCATTCAAAACTTACAGTGTCAATTCCGCCAATATGGATCAATGATTTTGATGACATCACTCTGCACCTCAACTTCTCATCAGATTTTCTGTCCAATTGTATTTTTTTTTTTTTTTCATTTCCTGGCAGCTAATGTAATGTGAATATGTAATAGCTCTTGTTCTCATGGCATTCAATACATTTTTTTATTAAAAATAAAAAAAAAGATTTTCTTTCCAATCCAATGCTCTCTAGAATCTAAAGCTCCGCTCCCTACATTATATATAGACGCTGAAGCCGCGGCTAAAATCAGCCACTTGTTCACACATTTACTATTTTCTACATGTTACCGAGCTCAATGGCTCTGGCCGAGCTGTGATATAAACTAAACGCTATTGGCTATTTTTAAAAAGGGGAGGAGCTGTTTGATATGCCCCGCCCTGTCTTCCTATTTCAGTGTAAATTACGTCAAAACATTGAATAATTTTCCGGGTTATTAGGCACTTCAGTGGGCCTTTACGTGTGTAGCTGAATTGAACTCATTTATTGATGAGCTTTACACAGTTTATTGAACTGAGCTGAATCAACACTGAACTAACTGACTTTGAATTCTCATAGTTGATGGTTTGCATCATTGCAATCTGTAATTTCCCTGTTTATGATTGTGAAGCTGCTTAGAAACTGAATCTGTATTGTATGCTTCTGAGCCAAGCCCAAAATAGTTGTCTTAACTTAGCCAAATTTAAGCAAATACACTACTTAATTAAAAAGCCATTGCTCTCTCTGAATGTTTTGGCAGAATATGACTAAAGGCTATTCTGTGCTAAGCTGTTTTTTTTTTTTGCCTAGCAGTGTGTATAAATAAATATGACTTGACTAGCGTTCGAGGCGTTTTGCCACCATTGTTATCAACTGATAAACCACTTGGAACTGTGGCGAAACAGTTTGAACCACAGAAAAACTGTCTAATCTTGTATATTTATTCTTATTTTCTGACTCTAATGTGTAGATAAGGTCTTGAAGGAGTTGATAGAGCCATACGATCAGCGCGTCCAGAAGCTCCAGGACTTTTTGAACGACGTGAAACCATCGCTCAAGTATGAAATCGTTCCTCTCTCGGACCCCTTCGGCCCCTCTATAACCGACCCTGAGCTGCAGTGCATTGTGGTCAGTGAGGAGACGAGGAAAGGAGGTGAAGCTGTCAACAGGAAGCGTGTGGAAAATGTGAGAACGTTGGTTGTTTTCTGGTGCCTTTAAAAAATCATTTGTCAATATACCAGAAAACCACAATCGTGACATACTGTACAGTAGCTCAAATGTATTTGTTAGTTAAATAATAAAACAAATATAAACTATGGTTAAAAAATTTGGGGTTGCTTAGATTTTTTTATAAAACAATCAAAATTGACAGTAAGCCCATTTATAATGTTATAAATGATTGCTATTTCCAGGATATTAGGATGATTTGTGAAGGATCATGTGACACTGAAGACTGGAGTAATGATGCTGAAAATTCAGCTTTAATCCCAGGAATAAATTACATTTTAAAATATATTCAAATAGTTTCAAATTGTAAAAAATATTTCACAATTTTTATTGTATTTTTGTTTAAATCAATGCAGCCTTGGTGAGCAGAAGAGACTTCTTTCAAAAGCTTTTAAAAAAATCTTACAGACCCCAAACTTTTGTACAATAGTGTTTTATATAATATTAATAATAATGAAACTTAAGTTTATACATTACAATGCTTATAAATGAAAGTATTTTGCTCTGGAAGCTTAATGTGCATTTGTTGTCACCACTCACTCACATGTTGAATCCTCAGTAAGTCATAAACTAGACGTTTGTGATCTTTGAACTTACTATTGACCACAGTGCATTTGGACTTTGCTGTTGTCTGCTTTTGGCCAGTTTTTGGTCATTTATTTATTTACACTGTGAGATTAAGTGTTGGTGTCTGTGCAGGGATTGGCTGAACTGCTTCTGTACGAGATCCAGCTGTTGAAAGACGCCCATCACGCTGACATCGAGGAGGAGAAGATCAGTTCTTCCAGCCTGAGAACACGATTGCTGGGAACGCTGCTCAAACCTCCATCTGTATGAACATTCATTCATTCATATTCACTAGTACTTAAAAAATTCCACAATCACATAATGTTCTGTACATCCATCTATCATTCATTAGTCAATAACTATCCTATTTATGATCCTTTGAAACTGGTATATTTGAACTATAGCATGTATTATTGGAAAAGGTCTGTGTGCATGAGGAGTTAGTGAAGAGTGTTCCTCATCCTCATCAGGATGAATGGTTACATAGGAAACCTATCAGGTGGTGAGATGTTTTTTCAGTCCAGGATTATGAACATAAAGCTTGTTTAGCAGAAAGAGTGACAGACCTTATTCTCTCTCCTCTGTATCACGGGGTCTCCAGACATTCATTTAAAGAGTCATGGCAGTGTGACTGCTGGTGTAATTTAATGAAGGATATTCAGTCATGTGGATCTTGTTGATCATGTGATGACTGATTTGGCTCAGCTGCTACTGCTTTTTCTTTTGAGATTATATATTTACTCATATACTCTAAAGTTCAAATGTTTTGGGTCGGAGAGATATTAAAATGTTTCAAATGCTCACTGGATTTATTTGATCAAAAATACAGAAAAACAGTAATATTATTACAATTTAGAATATTATTTGTATTTTAAAATTAAAATACAAATAGTACATTTAAATTACAAATAGTAATTTATTCCTGTGATCAAAGCTGAATTTTCAGCATCATTACTCCAGTCTTCAGTCACATGATCCTTTAGAAATCATTCTCATTTGCTGATTTGCTGCTCACGAAACATTTATTATTATCAATGTTGAAAACAGTTGTGCTGCTTCATATTTTTGTGGAAACCGTGATACTGTTTTGTCAGGTTATTTTGTTAAATAGAAAGCTCAAAAGAACAGAATAGAAGTCTTTTTCTATTATTATAAATGTCTTTACTCTCACTTTTGATCTATTTAATGCATTCTTGCTGAATAAAAGTATACGTTTCTTAAAAAAATTCCTAACCCCAAACTTTTCAACGATTAAGTGGACATTCATATGTATGCTTATGTTGTTATGTAAATATGAGCAATTATTCATGTAACCTTTTTAAAGATCAAATTAAATATTTGAAAAACTAAATGGGTTCCTTTAGATAACTAAAGTGTATTCATATTTTTAAATTTTTTTTTTGTCATGTGACAAATTTAAAATATTTAAAAAATGGTAATTTGATCATATGTGATGTGATATATTTCAGCATTTAACTTAGCGTTAACATTTTTATTTCTTGGTCTAGTTTAAAAAAAAAAAAGATGCTTGTAGATCTTGGTTTGATTTCCTGTTCTTGTGTTTGCAGCCGCAGCCGGATCTGCCTCTGGATCCGTATGTGATTGGTCTGACGGGCGGCAGCGGGTCGGGCAAGAGCTCAATAGCACACAGACTGGAGGGTCTCGGTGCCGTGCGGATCGACTGCGATCAGCTCGGTCATGAGGTGTACCTGCCGGGAACATCCGCGTACCAGAACGTCGTCCAGGAGTTCGGTCCAGGTAGGGAGAGGACACGTCGAAAAAACCTAAAAGAAATGAGTTCACTTCACTCATATATTACTGAATGTTCATTGTACTTATAGGAAAAAAGGTAACGTGAGCTCAACTGAATAAGCTGAATGAGTTGCAGTAGATTTCAAGTTCCCAGCATGCTTTGCGTCAGACTGTATAAGGAGAATAACACTGTAAAAAAAGATATATAATGAGTAAGTCATAGCAACATGTTTTCCCATTAACTCATTGAAATCATTTCAACATCATTTTCTAAGTTATACAAGATTTAACTTGGCAATTAAAAAAAAATTGTTGAAATTACTTGAAATTACTAAATTATACTTAAAATTTAAGGCAGAAACTGAACTTTAATTGGGGACATTTTGTACAGTGAAATGTTTGAAAATAGTATGTTCTGGTGGTCAGTTAATAGTATGTTCATGCAATCAAATTGTATGAGTTTGATCAGTGTTTCAATTAAAGTGCAATTAACATGTTTGTGTAATACAAAATCAAAGTGTAAAGTTGTATTCGTTTAACTTGAAAGAATTTGATATCGAAAAAAATGACTAATGCCAACATATTGGGGTTTACAGTGTAATAAATCTCAGTTTGTACTGGCCCTCTGCAGATTTTCCCCACAGAAAACGTGAAAAATGTCAGTTAATCAATGTTTTGTTTCTCTTTGCCATCAGATATTGTCAATGAGGATAAGACCATTAACAGACGAGTACTGGGGGGAAAAGTATTTGGTAACCAGGTAATTTAACTGCTGATAAATATAGTTGAATTCAGAACACGTAGTTTTCGTGATGTTCATATTGTGTTTGTATGCATGTTTCTGTGTGTGTTTTCCAGGAGCGTCTGAAAGCTCTGACAGATATCGTGTGGCCGGAGATTGCTCTGCTGGTGAAGAAAAGAATAAAACAAGCAAAAGAACAGGGTGAGGTGTTTTATTTCTGATCCACTTCATTCAGAATTGTTCTGTTTTAAATTGTACATCTTTTCTGGGTGAGTTTGATTAGTTCTGTCTTCCTGGTTTCAGGTAAGCGTGTTTGCGTGGTGGATGCGGCTGTGTTGCTCGAGGCGGGATGGACATATTTGGTGCATGAGGTTTGGGTGGCCACCATCCCAGAGGAAGAGGTACCAATACTTTGTAAGGTTGAAAAGACTGAGACCACTTTCTGGGATTCAAAATCAGTTTTAAACCTGGAAAAACACAATGTTTTGAAAAATTAAAAACAAAGAAGCATGCAAACAACCTGAAATATTAAAATATTTTAGATTGTGCACTGTTCGGTAGGATTTTTCTTATGTTTTTGAAAGAAGTCTTTTCTGCTCACCAAGGTTGCATTCATTTGATCAAAAATAAAATGAAATCAGTAATATTGAAAAATACTTTTAGAATTCCAAATAATTATTAATAATTATTCCTGTGATCAAAGCTGAATTTTCATTCATTCTAATATGCTGATTTGCTGCTCAAAAAACATTTATTATTATGTGATGAAAAGGTTGTGCTGCTTAATATTTTTCTTGATGTATATAATTTTTTTCAGGATTCTTTAATGAACAAAGTTTAAAAGAACGGCGTTCTTTTGAAATGTTTTTATAAATAAAAATGTAAATTTATCAATTTAATGCATCCTTGCTGAATAAAAGTATTTATTTTAAAAATAGCTGACACAAAAAATTGCTCACATGAAATTGCATTGATCACATGACCCTTTGTACAGATTATTTTGCTGATAATATAATTTATAAAGAAAAAAGTTACTTTTGCTAAATATCAGACTTTTGCATCCCACTGTATGTATGTGTGTGTGTATGTGTATATATAGTCCAAACCAAATACATTGTCATATCCATTGACATGCTAAAACTATTTAGAGTTGTCATGATTGAAATAACAATATTGTAATATTCTAATGTGTTAACTCTCTCAGGCAGTGAAGCGTATAGTCCAGCGTGACGGTGTGAAGGAGGAAGACGCCTTGAGGAGACTGAAGAGTCAGTGGCCGAATGCAAAGCTGATAGAACATGCTAACGTAGTGCTGTGCACACTGTGGGAACCTGATGTTACTCAGAGACAGGTATACGCCAAACACAATGGATGTGCTTTATTAACCTCAAAACATGCAGCGGATCAATAATGAATGCGTGTCTCCCTAGGTATTGAAAGCCTGGAATCTTTTACAGCATCGGATTCAAAAGAGGCAAGAGACAACCAGATCTCCACTCTGAGTGCTCGACAGACTCTGTTAAAGCATAACCAGATCAACACTTTCAGAATTTTGTAAAATACATTTGACGTTTTTTCTTAATTGATCATTTCAGAAGCATAAACCTGTTTTTTTTTATCATTTATCTTTTGTTGAATCAAAAGTCTGCATTCTTCATAAGCAAATGAGCCAGTATCAGTTATAGCTCTTTTAATGCCGTGAAATAGTTTTCACAGAAAATATCATGAGCTCTTTTACATAGTTTACCAATTATTCTTGTGCCTATTGTCAGAAATATTGTCAGTTTATATTTAGTTGTCACCTTCTCATTTTACTTTGAAGTTATTTTCACTGAAAAAGGCTTTTGACATGATTGTGGTGTAGATTATACATGAAGATAATTATTAATCTATATTGTGCCTCCTGAATACCAAAGTTAAAAAAAAAGTCAGATTAACCCATAATAGACAACTCAGTGATTCAAAGCAAAATAAGTTGTGATTTTTTATATAACAGCGAACAATTCTCTATGAATATAGTTTTAAATTAGCCATTAAAAATAAAACTGGTATCTTAATTTTATAAAACTTTAATGCATTCATTCTTCATATATACACATATGCATGTACAACAAATGTAACTTTTTAAAAATGTCTTTCTCTGTATTAAATACCATGTCCAACTTCTGTAGATAAACAATGCTCAAACTAGTAAATGTCATACTATAATAAGGGATAATATGAATAAGGGTGTGTGGTAAAACTGTGACTGAAAAAACAACAATAGAACAAATCAGAAATTGTGAATTACAACAGCATCTCAGTGACCTCAGACATTTGATAAAATGGTTTTAAAGTGTTTTTGTTCCAACAAATTTTGCACGTGGTTCCTAAAATTCTCTCAGTTGTGTCCCACTTCAGAAATCCACGTTCTAGAGTCCCACAGTGAGTCTGGCTGAACACAGCGCCTGTCCTAGGCTGTTGGATGCACAGCATTTGTAGATCCCAGAATCCCCTGGTTGTATGTGAGCAAGGGTGAGCGTGCAAACGCCGTTATTTTCATAACTCATCTGAACTCGTCCGGACTTCTCCAGCGGCGCCTCATCAAACAGCCAGGTCACTTCAGGATCAGGATATCCTGCGAAAACAGAAACATTCAAGGGAATTATGATCCAATAAAAACCTTTACGAACCCTGACACATGAAATAAGTCAGAAAAATCCAAAAACTGAGATGAAATTCTGATAGCTTGTAATCTACGAGATCTTATAGCGGAGTATAGCTGACTACTTAGAGTGACAACTGATATTTATATGCACTTTATCTCAATTATACTGTATGTATTAGTAAATTATATTTAAATGCTTAGTTTTATGATCAAAGCTCTGTAGTTTTAATTGTTGGGGGCAAACCATGTAATTATTGAGAGATTAACATATGTTCCTCAAAAGCCTGATGGATCATATTTGATACATTTTAAAATGTTTTTCTAAAAAGAAAAGATGGACAATCAAGAAAACTTGCTTCTGTCCAGTAAGTGTTCATCTTGAAATCTTACTAACAATAGAAGGGTTACAATTCTGCTAATCAGTAAACATTTCACAAGACAAACGTTGATCATTTCGAAGGCCTCTAAATGTGTGTATCAAATAAGATACAGTAGGCTTTATAGGGTTAACAGACAGGAGGATATTGAAGAGATGCTCATATGTTTGATGTATCAATTGTTTGAAATGATTTCGCTAGTTAATGATTTACATCTGAAACACTGAAGAGTACCATGTATTGTACAGGCCAGGTTGACTGTGGCTCCACGGCTCTCGGTTAGGTCACGCAGGGCTCGGTGGAAACGTGGTTCAGTCAGCAGCTGTTTCTCCAGTGACGCTACAGCTTGTTCAGCCTCTTTTCCCAGAGCTAGCTCTGAAATACAGTGACCGGCAGGGACATCATAAGGACAAACAAAACGAGTCATCCTCAGGTAGTTGCAGGTCAAGTCATTTTCGTGTCACTAGCCAAACCGAAAATAAATCGCAAAAGAAAGCTTCCTGAACGCCACATTAGTTGCAGATATTCTTATATCGTACCATCTACTGCAATGGGAGAATGCGTGCCATCAGATTTGCTGCATCGAGCCATCCTCTTTAGTGCAAGCAGGGCTTTACCGGTTTTCTGCAAGACAGAAACGATACAGTTTACCAAAGAGGTAAAAAGTAGTATTGATGACCACATGAATGACGTGATGAAAGCCATCAGGGAGTTTTATACCAAAGCGAATAATCTCCTGATTTTCATACCCTCCATTTCTGTCGGGCCAGGAATCTTCTCATCTTGTCTTTGTTAAGGGATTTAGTTGATCTTGAGTTTGAGTCGTCAAATAATGCTATCCAGGGATGAGCTAAAGCCTTCTCACAGGACAGTCTTGTTCTAAGAGTGTAAATTAAAATTAAACACTGCATACTACCATAAAACAGGTGACTTTCAGACCAGTTACATTTTGAATGTTGACTGAAAATGGCAGATTAAATAAAGGTTAGATTATAGCAAAACATGCATCATGTGACTGATCATTCACCTCGTATCCTTCATCAATAGGCCGCTGATGAAATCCTTGGCCTCATCCGTGATATCATCAAAACTCTCAGGGTCAAACTCCCATTGTGCTGCAGTGACCAGAGCCAAGGTTTCCGGATCACTGTTTCCCTGGAATGGAGACTCGCCACTCAGTCTGGAAAAGCGTGGAAATGGAAGCATTACAGAAACCAAAACTGCACATATTAGTCAAAAATGGCTGCATTTGTAGTCCTTACAGAATATAGCAGATGACGCCGATGCTCCACAAGTCAGTGGCCAGATCTACAGGTTCATAATTGATGACCTCTGGGGCCACAAACTCTGGAGTCCCATGAAACACCATCAGATGTTTCCCAGGCTCTGCAAGGGCCCAAAAATAAAATATTTTAATTATAATATAAAGTAAATCCAACATGGCCTTTTTTAAGTGTTAAAGAAGTCCCATGTGATTGTCCAGCCTATTCCAGTTTATAGTACTCAAGTGTTCAGCAGTACAAATTAATATGCTACTAGTCTAATTTGGCACAAAATATGCTAAAATTGCACAAGGGCATGTTAGTTTGCATATCTGTCCTTGATAAATATTTCTTGATTAAAGGTGCAGTAAGCAATTTCTAGGCAGCGCTGTCGAAAAGTGCAATTAACACCTAACAAATATTCACAAAATTGTTTGTTTGGATGTCTGTTCCGTTTGTGTGTTGGAAAAAAATAAAATAATAAGTGTCTGTGCATAGTCCTGACTGCACCGTATCCACTCATGATGGAGGAGAGAGTAATCAAATTGGACATGTAGAAAGAAAGATGGTTTAAGTCTTACTGAAGAGGAAAAATGTCAGGGGAATATAATAGGAAAAATAATGTTACGATAAACCAAGAACTCTAGGACCCGCGTTTACATTGGAAACGCTTCTACGTTTGGTTCATGTTGATATCACATGACCAAACGCGTCTTTCTCATTGGCTGCCGCTAAAACTGAAACATGTCTATGGTCAGATAACCTTTCCTTGAGGGAGACGTCAAACTCTTGTCAAAACGCCAACGACAGCTCATTTCTGTTGTTCTGGTAACCCATTTCTATGATAACGCCACGGGAAAGTAACAAAGACTATTTAATTATGTAACTGGGTTTTGTAGCTTTGTAAAACAGTGCCCTTCAAGAGATGACGATCGTGTTGTAAAACAATCAAACAGTTGACAATCTCCACTTCACCAATCTCTCTCTGCCAAAGTCTTTTAACATTAAATGCCGTTCGGAACATTAAATTATGGACCACGGTTATGCATTAGCCGCAGGAACATTACAAACTCTGCCGAGCAAGCGAAAGAGGTCAGATGAAAAGAGAGAAAAAGATAGACTGAGGCAGAAAAACAGAGTAAACATCGGCGCGGCCTATTCCAGGTGGAAAGCGCTGAAGATGGAAAAGGGCATGAAGAATGACGCAGAAGTTGCTCGTTATCTGCTGGACAGGTAATGAATTACATACACATTTGTTTAAAGTAATGAGTCATTATAAATTTGTACTTGTAGGATATAGTGTAATGCTGTGTCCACGCCGATAGCTGTCAGGGTGAAGCAGCCTTTAAGACTGCTGCCAAATCCGTCATTTAAACACGTTAAACTTCAAATGCATACGTAATTCACATATTTAGAAAAAGAAAAGAACGAAACACGAAAGACAGAAAGACCGACAAATAACAAATAAAACGAAAGTACGGCATACACAAGGTGGAAAGATTTTATGACGGAGAAAACCCTGAGTAAAAATGCCCAAGTTGCTGCTTTTCTTTACAGGTCAGATTAATTGGTTCGGGGTTCTGATTCTGAGCGGTTTGAACAGTGTAAAGTAAATACAAATGTCATGCTTATCCACGTCAGTAGATGGCAGTATTGGTTTGTGTATCTACATAGTGTACAAAGAGCAGCAGATGCTGACATGGCATTAAATAAAACAAAGGCTATTTTAAATGGCAAAAATCATAAATTCAATAAAATCAAGCAAACAAGTCATATTATAAAAATAAATCAAGTTAACATAGGTAAATAATCCAAACATGGATAAAAATAAATAAAATCCAAACCCTTTTCAGGCATAATCTTACTAAATAAGTCCTTTAGTGAAATAACTAAATAAAAGAGCATTCTACTTGTATTATACCCAGGACAGTCCAATAAAATATGTTTGCGTTTTAATAGAAAATGAAGTTACTAGCGTGTACATTAAAATAAACAGTTTTTGACAAAACGACGTTTGCAGAATGGGAATGGGGGTTTAAAGTGATAGTTTTAACCCAAAAATTGTTATTCAGTCATTTTTACCCTTATGTTGTACCTTTACGGGTTTCTCTCTTCTGCTGAAAACAATATGATATTTTGAAGAATGTTGCCGTTGGTAACAGATATGGAAGTCAATAATTAGGCTACTGTTAACAGTCTGGTTACCAACATACTTCAAAATATATTTTTAGTTCAACATAAGAAACCGGTACATCACCCAACATAAGGGTAAAAAAAAAAAAAAGGTTAAATAGCCATTTTCATTTTGGGGTGACCTATCCCTTTAAGAGTGGTGGGTCAGTAACCGCGCGTTTACGTCACGTCCATAAACACAGCGAAGAAAGTCCAGCGGGCGACAATAAATTGTAGCTCGTGAGTGGCTGCAATAAAATGCTTGTAATTTTGGAAATAGTCATCTAGATTGATTATGGATCGTTTGACCTTCTTAACACCCGTTGTCAAAGCAAAAGAGTCTCAACACGCAGTGAAAAGAGAATGCGACAGAATGCGCAACAAAACTAGAATCAATATCGGCAGGGCTTTTGAGCGATGGCGACAGTTGCGAGAGCTGAAGGGGTTCAAGTCCGACTCAGATCTGGCTTTCTTCTTGCTGGACACTGTGGACAGGTAAGGTTATGGGGCTGAACTGATAGTAAAAAAAAAATGGTTAGGTTTCAATCATTTGGTGTCGATCTAAAGCTCAAATTACATAGTGTAGATTGGGAAGGTTTAGTATTTGCGTTCATTAACTTGTTTATAGCGTATAACGATTGCCAGCGTTACTCCAGTACAGAATTACCAAACGGCAGTGTTCATATTCTCTAATTTTCGTTTATTAAGGGTGTGTGGTGAACATCTTTCACAAGACCAATCCAGTGCATCTCCGAGAAAGAGAGGACGGCCGCGGAAATCAACAGCTGCACCGCAAACTGAGGTACGGAAGAAAATAGTTTATTACACAAGCACAGTCCGCCTAAACCAATTATTTAAAGTAACTGTAGCAAATAACCATTAAAAAAAGTAAGTAAATACCAGCATCTCTTGTCAGACTACTAGACGTAAAGGAATTTGGTTTCACTGCATCTAATACAACATATTAATCAAAGACATGGATTGTCTTGGGATTCATTCAGCCCAGTTCAGACGCCTACTCAACAGATCAATGTCATGCCAGTGAAGACCCCCACTCAACAGACCACTCTCAGCCCAGTTCAGACAGCCAGTCGGACACTGAATCTCAGCCTAGTCCGGATCCCCAGCCCACAAACGTTGAGGTCCTTGGCATACACCATGACCTTCCTTCCCATTGGCCATATAAACCGGTAAGTCCTACTTCAATACTAGTTTGGTCTGGTTATGCCATTACAGTGCTTACAATCCAGCAGTTTTTAATATCTTTGACCTTAAAGGCACACGGTGGAATTTTTGGCCACTAGGGTGCGCTCGACCTGTAATTTTCACGTCTAGTGCCCCTAGAGGCCACAAGCGCCGCAGCATTGTCGCAAAAGTCAACAAACAGTCAACCGGTCAGCCTCCCGTGTCTTTTATGTGTGTGCAGACGGTATTTGATTTGTATGTTGGAGAAAGTTAATCGATTCACTACTGACCAAAATAATAACATAAATATAAGATTAATAATATAAATCCTATAAAGAAAACAAATTGAATAAAAGTAGCATACGCAGAAAACAATGTCTGATCAGGTAAGTCGCATTGACAAGGGTTGCCCAATCCTGCTCCTGCCGATCGTCTGTCCTGCACAGTTCATCTCCAACCCTAATCAAACACACCTGAAGCAAACAATTAACGTCTTCAGGATCTCTTTGCAATGGGTTGGAGATGAAATCGAGTAGTCGGGAAATCGTGTAACAAAACTGATATAACTCACTACATATTTCCGTTATTTGTAGTCTTCAGTTTGTTTTTCCTTTTACACAAATACAAACATATATGAGCTGAAAGGAAAAAAAAAACATTTACCTTTGTATACGGCAGTATGTTGTGACTTATATCAGTTTTGTTACACGAATTCGCAGTAAATATTACATTATATATACACTTTTATGCCGATGTTTATTTTAAACTCCCCCTTTTTCTTTTTTTGGTCTCCTCTGACAAAATTTTTGCTTTCTTCCGAGTAGCTGTTGATTCAGCCATGACGACAACATACAGACGCCGGCAATCAAACGCGAGTTGAGCTCTCACGTTAGAATTTGAGGAAGTTGGGGTGGTGGGGGAAGTGACGTATGCCGTAAAGCGGTCGAATTTTGTAGTTCTTTTTGTGCTCGGGTTCCTACCCGAAACCCGAAGTTACATAGTGCTAGTAAAAGCGATACAGACACCTTCAGGCTTCGGCAGACGTGTCATTCAACCTATTGTAAGTCGATGTACCATCTCAATGGGTTTTGGTAATATATTATAAAGGTTGAAAAGTTCCACAGTGTGCCTTTAAGCTTTTCCTCAAATTTTGTGCAAATGGTTAAAAATAGGGGCTAACATTCAAGTCCTAAAATAGGCGATCTGCACACTTGTGACTGCTCATCAGTTGAAATGTATTAAATGTTGTGTAAACTGTACGCAACCGCTTTCTGCACTATAATTTTGCCCTTCCAGGGTTCCCGCGGATCCTTAAAAAGTCTTAAAAAGTCTTAAATTAGATTTTTAAAATTTAAGGCCATAAAAAGTCTTATAAAGTCTTATTTTTACTTATGAAAGGTCTTAAATTTTAGATGACACTTTGACTTAGACATATCTAAAAGCTTTCCAAATTAAAACCATCTAATTAGCGTACGTATTTTTATTTATTTATTATTCTATCTTTGTGGATTTGCTCGTTCACGTGACATTCCGCGTCACTCGCGAGTCGCGGCAGCATAACTGTCTCCTGCACGCGAGAGGAGAGAAGGAGAAGAAAGGTCGTAAATGTCAGTTCAGTTGTAAGTTCATTCTTTATGTGCGTATGGTGTGCGATGTGTATTGTCTTTTATGATATTGTAATTGTTTTAACAATGTACGAGGCACTGCGAGCTGACATCGCATTTCTCTCGTGCTTTCACTGCGTGATGTGTGCAGTGTAACTGTTATGTCCCCAAGTTAGTTTTTGTCTTATATTTATATCATATTATGTTCTTATATTAGAATATCACATCAGAAAGAGTGCCGTTTTCCCGTGCACAATTCCAATTGTGATATTTATGTTATACAACAGTTAAATTAACAATAAGTTAACATTGAGTTACTTTTTAGACACAATATTGTCAATATTGTTTGTTTTCCCTTTATTTCGCCGACTATAATATCAAAATGAAACCGTAGCAGAGTCTCAATGCAACCGACAGCGATGATTTCTTGACTGAAATCCGCGTTTTGAACGAATCACTTGCTTCTTTCCCGAATGAATCAGCCGTTTGAACGAATCGGTTGAATGAATGACTCCCTTAACTCACTTATTAAGACAGTGATTTGCCGCTGCGGTTTCATATTTAAAGTACCCTTTAAATAAAATGTTAAAATTAGAAATCATTTCATATTTAAATATTGAATATTGATTTAAAAATATATATCTCATAGCTTTATTTATGCAGTTGTAAATGGAGTGTAAATAAATTAATGCCACTTCTGATGCCGCTTCTGTCACCTCTGCACTGCAAAGATGGATTTTGATTGAATGATTTAATTTGACTGTAACAGTGGTACTGTATGATTATTATATAATTAAGTATTATTGTATAATTACTGTATAATTTAATTTGAATGATAGTATTTGACATTAAAGGTGATGCATAACTCTAAATAAGTTTAGAAAAAATGTCCATATATAGGTGAAAATGCCCCTGAAAAAAAATCAATTTAAGGTGGCAAATATTGCCCCTTAATTAAAATATTAATTTCTGTCACTGCTGTGAACTGACCACTGCATAGAATATGAAAAATATGAATATCTTCGTGAGTCAGCTGTCAACAACAGACCTAAACCAGCCATGGCACCAGCACAAAAACACAATCAGTAAAATATCATCTAATTATTATCAACAAAACGTTGAAAATATCAAGATATATTTTTGTCAATACTGCACAGCCCTAATGTACGGTATTAATTTTGATTTCTTCAGGTCTTAAAAAGGTCTTAAAAAGCCTTAAATTTGACTTTCAAAAGTGTGCAGGAACCCTGCCCTTCTTACTAGTACCAAGTCACTATTTTCGGTTTAGGATAAACAAGCACAGCCTGAAAGACAAAATGATGGGTCTGATCTAGATGTTGTGATTGGTTCCATTGCACCATCGTACAGCTTTGCTCGTCATAGTTCCTCTTCAAGCACAACTACAGAGGAAGACAATGCAATGAACTGGGAGGAAATAAAGGTTGGTAAAACTGTACTACAAATGGTCTTTCCTATGAAAAATGTACACTTTTCAGGACTAGTTTCCCATATTTTTGTAAAGTGATCAAAACTCACTAACACTCTAGACCAGGGGTGTCCAAACTCAGTCCTGGAGGGCCACTGTCCTGCAGTTTAACTCCCAACTTGCCTCAACACACCTGCCTGGACATTTCCTGTATGCCTAGTAAGACCTTGATTAGCCAATTCAGGTGTTTAATAGGGGTTGGAACCAAACTTTGCAGGACGGTGATCCCACAGGAGCAGGATCGGACACCACTGCTCTAGATATTCTCAACCAAAATCATTGCATCCTGGGATGCTTAAAGGGGTCATATAATGGTACATGCACTTTTACAAGTTGATTGTACTGAAATGTGTGTTGGCAGTGCCTGTACACAACCATCATAAAATGATAAAAATCCATCCAGTGTTTTTTTTAAATCTCCTTATATGTTTTCCCCTGCCTCAAATCAAGCCGTTTGACCGTGTGACGTCACACGGTCGGAAGCCCCTCCCACAATTGTTGATTGACAGCATCATTTCAACACAGACCCGCCCTCACTTGTGAGCGAGCTGTCAATCATAGTCTGCGCGGACCGGCGCGGTCATTGTTGATATGCTGGAGCACTGTCTATGAGCAGAATGGCGTCTAAGCGATTGTGGTGTTCTGTTCTTGGGTGTAATAACGAACACAGCAGTCATTTTAATTAGGGGTCGACCGATTATCGGCGCCAATATTAAGAATTTTTATGGTTATCGGTATCGGCCATTTTCAAAACCGATTTGCCGATAAAATAATTTTATTTTGAAATGCGCTATATTTGGCTCTGACGCAGCCACCTTTGTCGGAACTCACCACTCTGTAGACTAGACTAATGTCCTCGCACATCTGATTTGTTGGGAGTCACGAGTCCGGCCAATCAGCGCGGAAAGCTGAGGCACTGAAAGTGTTGCACTCACACCGAGAGAGCACTCGCTGACTAGAGCCGCTTCACTGATCACGCTTCAGTTGTCTCTCAAAGTTAAGGCAGCAGCAGACTTTGCTGAAGCAGCAATAGATTACTACACTGAAGTTGCAAAATACCTCAATAATAATAGAGCCCTGTGATTTCCACGATGCAGAACAGACGGAGTCGCGGAATCCAGTCATAAAAACGGAATTTACTGTATAAAGCGGAATATCATGGAATTTGTCAACTTTGATGAATTAATAAAAAGCAGGTCAGTACAAATCAAACCGCAAAAAGACTATTTAAATATGAATCCTGCGTGTCTCTAACGTTAAATGAATGGCGCAGACGCGTAATTTCAGTTAGGCTACCACACACATACACTGGAGCACGCGTGACGCTTGCGCTGTTTTCAGCCTCAGCCGCATCATTATATGAGGACACGATTGCATAAACATCATCTCCAGAGCCGCTTAGTCACTTCATGAGCTTTTGAATGCTTCAACTGAGAAAAGTTAGACATATCATAAACACACAGAAACTCAAAGATCTCCACGGCAACCCGTCAAAATAAAACTTCGGTTTTTCACAAGGCCCTAAAAATTTAATTTTTGTTAAACTGTAAATAAATTGAATAAGTTTGATTTTAATTAATTAGAAATGCTTTTTGATTACTAAATTTTATTTAAAAATTAAAATAGTCTTTAAGTTTTACAAAATGTTTACAGAGTGCTGCTGGGTGCTCCCTGGACTTTTTACAAGTTATTATTATTATTATTATTATTAATAACAGTTCTCAGATTCAAAGATATGTTTAAAATCATTTAAAGAAAGTATTTGTCAAAACCCCTTGTTATTCTTAATTTTGACATTAATTTGCAGTTTTACACCAGACATAGCTATAATATAGGTTCAAAATATCGGTTATCGGTCTATTTGATCTGTAATAATCGGTATCGGCCCTGAAAATCACAAATCGGTCGACCCCTAATTTTAATGTTCCTAAATCCAAACCGCTGAAGACGCAGTGGCTGAGTTTGTTTTCGATGGGAATATTCCCCACGAGCAACGTCAATGCTCTCATGTTTGCGCGAATCATTTCACACACCAGACTGCTTTATAAACGAGGGTCAGTATAAAGCTGGTTTTGCTAAGAAGCTGCTCATGAAAAAAGGATCGGTACCAGATATTCGTGTTCCTGCTGAACCTTCAGAAGAACGGAAGTGAGTAACTTTTATTAAACTTTATATTAATCTTTGCAAATCGCTAGCTGCACGCTTCACATTGAATGCGTCTAGGTTTACACTCCGGGTACATAACGGCATGTTTTCTATGTACGACGTTCTCAATATAATTCATAATCCCACGTTTATACTGAACAACGCATTATGGTTATTGTGTTACAAACGGTGTACGCACAGAACAGAGAGGCGGAGTGAGCAAAGCTCATTATCATTTAAAGTCATATGCACTGAAACGGCGTGCTGAAAACAGAGCTGTTTTTGACCAGGTAAAATAAGTGTTTTCTTACAATACTAATGAGAATTTAATTAAAGTATATTACAAACTTTTAATTTAGACCCTAAAGAATCATATTAGCTTGTACAAAAATGGCATTATATGACCCCTTTAACAGATTTGGACACATGATGGCTGCTTAACTTCTTAATCCACTCATTTCAGTTTACTTGAAAATGTTTTGTAAAGAAATTCAAGCCCAATCTTGTCTACAATGCTTAAGCCTTCAGATTGGTTAAGATGTTAAGACCACGAGAAACCAATTTAGTCAAAGGTTTCCAAACTGCGCACTGGCAAAATCTATCCAGTTAGCTCACCAATTGTTTTCGGTCTTCTAGGATGAACTGGCAGAGACTGCACAGCGACTGGAAGAGCGTTTAAATGTCATGAGGTCCCTGACTGATGGAGCATTAGAACCCATTTCAATGACAATAGGAAAAGATGATCAGAAGGAAGTAAAATGGGTGGTCAACAAATCCAGTTTGACAGGACTTTTTAGAAACTGCCATCAGTGTGGAGAGCCAGTTCTGGAGTTTAAAACGTTAACATCGGGGAGCCTCGTCCGCATTCAGTGGGAATGCTCAAAGGGACATCTCATGTGGCTTTTCCCCAACAACCCAACGTAATAGACACTGAAACCACACGTGAAATCGACTGCAAAGAATAAATCTAGATTTTTATAAATTGTGAATAACAAATAAAGTTTTTACTTTGGAATGAACGTTGAATTCATTCCAGACTTTTTCAACCACACAGTATCATTATTTCTGTCTGACAAAAATTCAAAATATCACGGAAGTACTGGGTTAAGTTTATATTTGGGGTATAAATAGGGTTAATCACCTTTTGAAAGTAAATAAATATTGTATCAATTACATCAGTAAGTGGCGACAAGTGACTTAAAAATGTCTTTCATTGAATCATTCGAGAGATTTGTTCAAAAACGCCGATTTATCCAGTAATGAAACAAGTGAAGTTAATGAGTGAGTTAACAAAAAAAAAAAAAAAAAAAAAAATGGACTTTAGCAATTATATTAGAACCTCTAGTAAATTACTTTAGTTATCCATTTACAATCGTGGGAGATTCGGGATCTCCATTTTAGACCATTTATCCAGAATCGTGCAGCTCTAACAGAGCGTATTGTGAAAGAGTGGGGACTAAAATTTGAGTTTCTCAAGATGCAAGTTCGCTCCAGATAAAATACAAAAGTAAAAACAACTAAAAGCTTAACTCACCCAGTTTGCGGGCCAATCCAAAGTCAATGATTTTGATGAGCGTCCCAGTGCCGTTCACACAGACGATGTTCTCTGGCTTGAGGTCGAGGTGAATGATGCGTTTGCGATGCATATACTGGACTCCTTCCAGGATCTGACGCATGTAGTTCACACTGTTGGGTTCGGTGTGCTCGAAATTCTCATCTACAATCCGTTCAAACAGCTCACCGCCTGCAATACTTCGAGACATGGATTAGAAACATTTATATTAGAGGCATTTTCCTCAACTTTCAAAAAGAAATTTGCAAATATTTTTGGTGGGTAAAAAGAACAAATTTGAAGAATTAGACAACCTTAAATGTTTTTCAATTTTAAATACAGAAACATGCTCTACCTACGAGTATCATTTTAGTGATTTAAATGCATTTTTAAATATAAAAAAAAAGACCTGCAAGCAGTTGAATAAAAATACCCACTACGTTAAGACGGTCTTGAAGGAATAGTTCACTTAATGAAAAGTGCAACAGTTCCATAGAACACTTCAGAACTGTTTGTTATGGATGTAGAAGCAAACACCATTTAATGTGAAACTTTAAAAAATCAATTTTCTCAGTTTTGAATAATTTAACTCACTACTCCAGAACCATGACTATCTCAGACGGCGTGTCGTAGGCTGCGAGACACTGCACCAGCTTCGAGTGGCGTAGTTCGTTCATCAGCTTGATTTCTTGTCGCGCTGCCATTTTGTCTCTGGAGACACGGGCCCGGTAGATTTTACCCGCACACACCCGACCCGTCTGCTTATGGGTCATCCTGAACACTTCCCCAAACTTCCCCCTGTGTGGAGGTATATTAAGATATTCATGTTTGGGATGACCAACAGAAATCCCAATTTGACATTTTATAAAGCGGCTGACACTCACATTCCCAGTTTTTCATGGACATGATAATGATCCCTGGCTTTATGTGTGGTGTCAATCACAACATCCACATATGAGGTCACTTCCTGTTGTGGCTCAACTGTAACACATTAATCTTGCTTCAGAACTTTAGACTTCTTAAAGGAATTAATACTGGGTTTTGTGTGTATGTGTAAGAAGAGCATAGTTAGAAGTTAATTTAATGGTTTAAAAGTTCGAGGGGATGGGCGTCCATCTACCTGCAGTGTTCATCTTAATGCGGTCCGACTCCTCACTGGGGTCACTGACTCCCACTGCGTTGCAGGCACGTACTCTGAAGCGATACTGTCCCTGCGGGTCGAGACCAGAGCGGACCCGATACGAGGTGTTCTGACACTGGTCAGTGAGTACAGTCCAGTCCCCGGGCTCCTGTTGGTCCAGTCTCTGACGCTCCACCACGTATGCAGTGACGGCAGATCCTCCGTCGAAGCTCGGCCCAGACCACGACAGAACCAGAGACCTGCAGGTCAGCTGGGACACGAACGGACACGAGGCTGGAGGGTCGGGACAATCTGGGGAGAAACAAAGTGGAGGAGAACCAGTGTTATTGTTAACTAAAATTAAATAAATAGAAAAATTAGATAAATTAAAGCCAAATAGATTTAATAAAAATGACAACAGCAAAAAAAATTAAGTACGATCCACATCAAGGTTAACCGTCAAGCTCATTTTGTGTTCATCACAAGCATTTATTCACACTTAACCCTTGTGCATCAATTTAAAAAAAGTTACACAGGGTACACAGAGGACAAAAATGTCCATAAGGATGCACAAGGGTTAATGATTACAGCCGATTCATCAATCAGTCAGCAAAACGAGCCAATATAAAATACAAATGGCAAGCACAAACAATAACTAAGAAAAAACTGAATAAAAAGTAAAAAAATAATAACAAAATAAACCAAATCTAAATAGAAAAAACAAGAACATACAATTACTAAAACCTAATCCAAAATAAAAAATGTAAAAAAGCTAAATTAAAGATAAATGGAAATATTAAAATTACAAAAGCACAAAATTACTAAACTTGAACATATATACACACACACACATTTATATACTAATATTTTATAACAAAAAAAAACACCAATAACAAACATAGTTGTCATCACCACAGATGTAGGTGTGTGTAGAATGATTTTACACATCAGAGAATCCAACAGGTTAAATACTTTAAGGTCTACATTTCTTTTATTCAGAGAATGAACAGTCTTACCAATGACACTGAGGCTTGCGGTCCAGTGAGCCGTTCCACCTCGGTTACGAACAAAAAGAGAATAACGTCCTGCGTCTACAGGAAGAACCTTGGAGAGAACCAGGGTGCTGCTACTGCTGCTGCTCTCCACACTCGCTCGTGGGCCTTCGAACACGACCTACCAGAGCAACAGAAAACATGCAAACTGACTCGTGGACAGATTTGAGGGATTTGATCTTGAAAACAGTGGCCACAATCACTGCATGAAATATCAAACCAACAAAGCATTTCTCTACACCAACTTCACCTCTTCTCAGCGACTTCTAATTAACTGGTCTGAAGTCAGATCTCCATAAGATCACAGGTGAGCTAGCAGAGAAACCACAGGTGTAGAGAATCGCATTATTCAGCAGGCTTCCTGAAACCCTAATCGAAGACACCTGAACAAGCTGATCAAGCTCTATGGAGGAACAGGTGAGTTTGAGCTGAACTCTGCAGGGCAGTGGATTCGAGGAACCCAGCACTAATGCTCCACAAACGGGTCAAACCTTTTCTCTGTCACGAATCCAGCAGAAAGCCACCGGCCCGGAGCTTCTGAAACGGCAGTGCAGTCGAGCGCCTTCTCCGACACGAGCCACAACCGGCTGCTGGGGATCCAAAAACTCAATTACTGCACCTGGAAAACAGTCGGAATCACTACAACAAACAGACGGACTACTGTACCGACACAGAAATTGAAGTACTTCAGGTTCTCAAACCACAATAGAGATGCTCCACCTTTACAGCTACAGCACTTTTCTCATAAGATCAATTCCTGTTACAGTATTGAGCTCGTTTTGAGGATCAGAATTAGTTAATTTTGGTAACACTTTACAATAAGGTTTAAACTTCTACAGCATTAATTAATCTTAGATAAATGTTATTTGTTTAGTTTACTAATACATTGAGATCAACAACTGCATCTGTTAACATTAATGCACTGAGCTAACATCAACAAATGTTAATAAATACTGTAAATATATTCCTCATTGTCAGTTAATGCATAAATCTTAAATTAGCCCTCATTGTTAAGTGTTACCAATATTTTGAACATTGAAATCATGTAGTTATTTAATATTTTGTATTAGATCTTTTATTATATTTAAGTAATGAAAATGGTTATGGTTTAATTATAAAACCTTATGTAGCCCAAGAAAAAAAAGCTTTTAACTTTAGTTCAATTATATGGTAAATGAATTAATGTATCCAGGTTGTTCTGAAATAGATTCAGCACTCTAAATTTGGAATTCAGATTCTAAAATGCTTCTGAAAATTTACATTAAAACTGTGTTAAATGTAAAACAAAAGTAAAACCTTCAACCTAAAATAATAAGTAGCACATTAACATCTTAGTGAATGTAAACCTGAAACCTTTTATCAGAAATCACACTCACCTGACCTACTGCTGGCTGTTTTATTCAGAGTAACATCTGCAGTGAAACACACTAAAGTCATGAACTTGTACATATACAGAACTCATCAGTCATGTGACTTGCTCTGGTCAAGCCAATGGGGTAATTAAATGTGGCATATAATTGGCTAGAAAACACAGAGGGCCTCTGATTGGCTACAGGCATAACGAGAACCCAAGAGTCTTCTGAATGCAATTTAAAGAAATCAGTTTCCAAATCCACATTCTTCTACCCTGCATTGACTAGGCTGCATCTGAAAGCGCATAATTCCCTACTATATTAGACGAAAAACAGTATATGACAAAAGAACTATGTCTAAGTTCACAGTACTCATAAAAAAGTACCCAGATGACCAACTACTTCTGCAGAGATTCAGAAGTGTGCATTTGATGGACAATTTACTATCCCATGAGGCCACGGGAGAGGATTTGTGAATGGCAGTGAAGCGACGCATGCTGGTAGGTCACATGATAATGACAACATGGCGGATGTAGTACGTCTGGATTACATTCATACTATATAGAACATACATTTTTAGCGGTCATTATGCATTTATTCAAAATGAGTTCCTACTCAAGAGAGTATATGATTTCGGATGCAGCCTTGGGTACGTTTACACGACAACGACATACTATTTTTTTTTTTTTTTAATGTTTGTGTGTGATTACGCAAAAACACAATTTTTTAATTTTTGGTTGAAGTGTTTGTTTTTGCAGGAGATTTGTGAGGTTTTGCATCTTGTGTGCATGTTTTGTGTGTAAAATCTTGAGAAATGGAGCCTTAGTTTCAAAAATTGTGTAAGCAATTAAAAAAACAAAAAAACTGTAATATCAATACTTTTATTCAGCAATGACGCATTAAATTGATCAAAAGTGACAGTAAAGACATTTAATAATGTTACAAAAGCTTTCTATTTCAAATAAATGCTGTTCCTGAAAAACCCTGTACAAATGTATCATGGTTTGCACAAAAAATAAGAAATAATAAGGAATTATTTCTTGAGCAGCAAATCTTCATATTAGAATGATTTCTGAAGGATCATGTGACACTGAAGACTGGAGTAATGATGCTGAAAATTCAGCTTTGATCACAGGAATAAGTTACATTTTAAAACATATTCAAATAGAAAACAGTTGTTTTACATATTTCAAAATATTACTGTTTTTTAATTAAATAAATGCAGCCTTGGTGAGCAGAAGAAACTTCCCAAACTTCTTGAACATCATGACAAGAAAACCTTTCTTAAATGTCTCCTAAACAGTTTTTATAACAGTTTAAAGTAATGTGTAGAAATCTCTGAGCTGATTTACCTGATTTCTCCTCTCTGTGCTTCAGTTTGCCTCTATTCTCTGTCCTCCTCGGCTCATCCAGTGCTGGCTTTAGCTCAAACCTGCATGTTGAAATGTAGGTCTTCTTTTGACCCTTTTCAATAAAGGTCATTATTATACTGTGATCTCTGGAACGTTCTCTCTGTAAACTGTTGGTCTCTTCCTCAGATGAGCATGTCTCCTTTCATTTGATTTCTCTCACTGCTTCATTTGGCAGCATTCTTGTTCTACTTCAAGTCACAGATGTTATCAGGTTGATCATATAAATGGTTTGAGAGAGAGCAGGAAAGGTGAAAGCTAAAGTGATTTAGATGAAGAGGGCGGGGCTTCCACACGTGGCTTGTAACCGAAAGCTGCTCAATCACGATCAAAATCCACTACAACAAAGCAATATTAAAAACAATCTGCACAACTGTGACGGTCTCACAGATGATAAACTTTATAGCCATCAAAACTAAGCCAAAAACATTGAAATATGGCACCCATGATGTTTCCTCTGCTCATGGGTGTGTGACATAAAGACATTCATTGCAAATGTGGATGAGCCTGTTGGGCTGCTTGGGATAATTTTAGTTTCTTTGGCCTGATGTATTGTAAACCTCATATTTTCCAAGATTTGGGTGTATATATATAATACATATAGGCCTATATTATTATAGATATCTTGCGTTTCAGATCAATATCACAAAAAGCAGCATATATGTATTTGTGTGTGTGTGTTGTCAAAAATAATTTTGATATGTTGATATTTTGTTCATGTTGCTATTTTGATATGTTTCGATACTGAAATATCTGAAAGTGTTCCAAAAGGCCCTCCTTTTCTGCAGACTCGATACACCAATACCAGCTGCTCGTTCTCACTCACTTCTCTTCTAACCCTAACCCATTGACCCTTCCTCTCACTCACTCATCTCTTTCACTCCGGTTGAATAGTGCTTTGTATTTTGTACTTTTGTACTGTGCTGTGTACTTGTATTGCGCATACTTTTAGTAATTTCCGCAGGTTTCAGGCTCACACCAAAAGCGAGCGCAGCACTGATCTATAAAGCCGCCTCTCATAAAAAATCACGAGTATCAAATTTACTTATTTTTTGTGGCTTTTTGCGCTTAATGGTCAAATACATACAAAGTTATGTCAAAATGCCCGTCTTGCCGAGTATTCAGGTAAATACAGTCAGTTTTGGAACAGAAATGTTGTGTAACAATGGATGCATATGCTCTTAAAGTGACAGCAGCCTAATAAATCTGCTACTGTCTGTCATGTTAATCAAAGAACAAAAGACAAAGAGAAAATAACTGGCTGATCTTGTTTAATAACTTTAATTGTAAGCAAATATTTCATTTTTAAAATGGTACCGAATATCGATATTTTTCAAGGTATCTTATCGAAGTTGGAAATTCCAGTATCATGTGGTTTTGATTGTGAGGTCCAAGATCCACCCTTATATAGTGAAATATTATGAAAACGACTAGTCCGGACATTTTACTGGTTAAAAAGTACCTGTTTTATTGGGCTGATCAATAAAATGTCATATGACTCTATAATGCTTCAATCTAAAGGAAAATAAAATGTCTTTAAATGTCTACATCTGTTATAGTTTCCAGCAAGTGTGAAGTTTTAGGCCTATTTGTTGTCAATATACACAACTGGATATAGCTATGGTTAAATTAATTTATTATTGCTTTTTCATAACTCAGAACTCATTTGAAGTTAAGTATCAATTTGGTCTCAAATGTTTCTTCTAAAACTCCTTGGGAGAAACAATAATAGAATAGAAATATTGAAGTCTTCATTTGTGCTCTAATTTGTCTATTGGAGAATCAGTTGAGATGTTAAAGACATCTAATTGGGTCATGGGATTTCTAGGAAGCAGAATAACATAAACAGAGTAATTAAAGTAGATAACAGCTGCTGCAGTTCTGCACACATAATGCAGATTATGCTGTTTTTTAGGGTGAAGATGACATGTTGTAATCTGATTACACAAACACACTTTCCTACTAACCGTGTTTTTCATGGGAAAATAACAGGCGTGTTGACGCCCACGGCATATTTGAGGAATGGGGAAAGAAAGAAGAAATTGCTCAATCCAGGAAAGGGTTTGTGAACGTATGAAAATACTGAAGCCTATGCCATGTCACAGTCAGAAATGAAAAATATCTGAATTCACTTACCAAGTTCGTTGGTTTGGTCAGAATCATAGTTTCCTATTTTTGACGTGTTTCCTGCGTCGATTTTCATCGGCTGCTCTCGTACAGTGTGTCGTGTATACGAACAAATTAATCTTATGGATGATTATTTTGAAGAATTGTTCGAAAAGACTCACGCACTCAGGAGAGGGTGTATCAGTTTGACAAATCCTTAACTTAATAAACTCACCGAGCGGTTAGCTAGGCTATACTGAATCAACGTATGATCACTTTCTGAACCGCTAAATACTAGGCTATTAAGAAAGCAGAAATATAGGCCTATTGTCTATTTATTTTCATTCCTCACGCTAATGTCTTTATTTTATATATGCTTCCGACAATGTTGTGAATTTGATAGCCTACATTAGAAAGGCCTATCCGTAATATGAAAATGTTAATATGTTTCCCCCCTCATATTTTGCTAAATGCTTTTTTTGAGTATGGTTATGAGTTAAAAGCCGATGACCTATGTATTGTTTTTTAAAACTTCTGACGTGTATGTTCATGTTGACACATGGAAGAATACAAGATGAATCAGCAAAAGAAAAAGGAAAGAAAAAATGATAGCCTACTGAAGTTCTGGTTTGTTTTTATTTACATGATATTCTCAAGTTGCAGCCCTGAATGTATTAACCTTTTACTGTCTATGGTATTAACCCACTGGTGTTCGTTCATTTTACTTCATCGGAATGCTATGAAACTTGGTAAAGGTTTTGACTCTTTCTGTGAAAAAACAAAAAAATCATGTAGGCCAACATGATTTGAAAAGGTTAAATTGTTCTAAAATAGTTACACTTTTATTGTTCGCGTCAAAAATGAGTGCATTGTATTTCATCTACTGGAAACGTTTGGTACTGCGCACAAAATCTTATTGAAAGCTCATTGATTGAGATATACCTCAAATTTGGAACACAACTTGTTTAGATTTGTGGCTTTGATTTTGCTCAGTTTTGGAGTAAAACGTGTTTTGGAATATACATTACATATAAAATGTACATTTTTACTTTTTAAAGTTCACTTTT